AGCCACACACCCCCGGGGGGTGGGGACTGCTCCGCGCCCGGGCGGGGCCGTCGGATCCCGCTACGTCCGGGTCACCGGAACTTTTTTTTTTTTTTCCCCCCCGCTTGCTTTTTCCCTTCTCGTAGCCGGAGAAAAACACTTTTAAGTTCTGGAAATAGCGACTCCGTAAGATGGCCACGAGCCTTCAGGAAGAGGCGGACGGGAGCTGTGTGCGTAACCACTCGTGAGATTCGGAATGACTGAGGTCAAAAGCACGAACACAGGCGAAGCAAGCCCATGACTGGATTGCCTTGTTTTCCTCCCTGGCGGACCCGGGGAAGCGTAATCCGGGCCCAGGCAGGGGCCGCTCACCACCTCCCTTCGGCCACACCCACTTCGGTTCCTTGGGGTTCATCTGGCTTCCATTTAAATTGCAGGGGAAGCCGGGAAGCCTCTGTGGTGGAGGGAACACCGTAGTGATCGGGAAGCAGCAGTATTATTTTATTCTGTGTCAAATACAGTATTTTCTTTCCCGTTTGCACTTTTTATTTCTTATTTTTAGGTCACTTACGTGAAAGGAGACCTTTTTGCGTGCCCCAGAACAGACTCTCTGGCCCACTGTATCAGTGAGGACTGCCGCATGGGTGCTGGCATAGCTGTCCTCTTCAAGAAGAAGTTTGGTGGGGTGCAGGAACTGCTACATCAACGTGAGTTTTGAAAGCAGCCTAGTTAGCCCGAGGAAAGCATCTTTTGATCTTTTCTCATACTTTAAGATGTGCATGCCAAGGGGGGGGCTGTTTCTAATGACTGAGTGCTTTTAACTGTTGATGGTTTTGCCTCCCAAGAATGGCTTCTGGTTCCTGTCTTTATTATATTAGATTCCTGTATACGTCTCTAATCTCGTTATTCTCCATCATCAACTTTCTTTGATGATATCAACCTGCTTCTCTGAAATCTTTGGGAACTGAGGTGCTTAGCAAAGTCCACAGGTGTCAGGTTGGCTTTCAGGTCCTCTGCATAACTAATATTCTACTTAGTTTCGATGCGATGTTTAGAAATCACCTCTTCCTTACAGACCCACTCTCATCACTTTCTACCAAGGACTTTACATCGGAAATACACTGCCTGCCATTTATTCTGACTCTAGCCAAAGACAAAAGCAATTTCTGTCTGTCTGTTGGTTCTGGGGCTTGAACTCAGGATCTGGGCACTGTCCCTGAGTTTTTTCACCCAATGCTAGCTAGCTCTCTACCACAGGGCCACTTCCAGTTAATTGGAGGTTAATTGGAGATGAGAGCCTCATGGACTTAACTGGCCTGGGCTGGCTTTGAACCTTAATCCTCAGATCTCAGCTTCCTCTGTAGCTAGGATTATAGGTGTGAGCTACAGGTGCCCGGCTTTATTTGAAATTTTAGTAGTTAAGAACTTGTTAAAATGTTTCTCATGATGTTTAACATGACTGTAGAAGATTATTGAATTAACATGTTTGACAAGTAAAAAATTTTAAAACAGTTTCGAAACAGACATTTAAATTTTTTAAGTGGACAAATAAGGGTATAGTTTGTGGCAGGACAAAAAATGGGATGTGAGGAAACATATACATTATCTGAAAAAGAAAATATAGGAGATGGCAGTTTCTTCAAGGGTAAAAGGCTTTTCTAGTTCCAAGGTAAACTCAGATCTATGATGATTTTTTTAAATCTTAAGAGTAGAGATTAGTTGTTTCTAGTTTTTTTTCTTCTGTTCCAGTATTAAATGACTGTTTTTCTTAGAGAAGAAATCTGGAGAAGTGGCTGTTCTGAAGAGAGATGGGCGCTATATATATTATTTGGTAAGATGGGGCCTAATCTTGATATGTTGTAAGGATTGGTGAACAAATGGACTGCCTTGCATTCCTCTTGCTCAGGATTTTAGATAAGTAAGGATGTCATAAAGCTTCTGTTCTCATTACAACGCAGGTTAGGTGGTTCTGTCTACTTGGTTTACCAGGCTGCCGTACAACTTCACAGGCAAGCTCTGTGCACCATGACCTGTGTTCAGAGACTTGTAGTAGTATGGGACACCTTCTGTAATTTCTTTCCTTGCTATAATGAGAGAAAAAAAAAAGCCAAGTCTCAAGAGACAGGATTCCCCAAAGAGGGTTATGTCTTATTTATTCCCTGTCACATGTACCAGCTAATAACCCAGTTCCTCTCTGGATGAATGTGGTGCCGTCTGCACGTGGGACTCTCTGTCCACTTGTTCTTTGGCCTCACAGGGCATGTAGCTTCTTTAAAATAATGGTGGTGGTTGGCTTAGAGCCAACCCACTCACTGCAAGCCTTATCTGGATAGCAAACCAAAAGTGGGGAGATGTTCTAAACCAGTCAAATTTTGTCTTTAAGGCTGATGTGACTTTCAGTGTTTTTAATGTTCGATTGTAGAAAACAAAAAGCAAGCAAGCAATACTTTTTCCCGATGGTGTGGGTTCTTCCTTGCCACAGATACTGTAGTTTATCTCTTGGAACTGATGCAAAACCTTTCACCTGGGCTGGGAAGGTGGCTCAGTGGTAGAGCGCTTGCCTTGCATGCCTGAGGCCCTGGGTTTGATTCCTCAGCACCATAAGCAAAAAGAAAAAAAGCCGGAAGTGGCGCTGTGGGTCAAGTGGTAGAGTATTAGCCTTGAGCTGAAGAGCTGAGGGACAGTGCCCAGGCCCAGAGTTCAGGCCCCACGACCGGACCAAAAAAAAAAAAAACAACAAAACTTTTCACCTGTCTTGCTTAAAAACATTTTATAATAGGCATAACTTATCTATCTCATGGGTTTCCTTGGGGAAAGGAAGATTGATTGCTTGATGACAGGGCCTGGGTTTCTTGGCCCCATTTAGTGGATTTTCCTGGGGCCTTCCTTCCATAACAATGTGGAATGGGGAGTGTAACATTTGTCATCCATACTCTAGATTAGTCTGTAAAAATGCACTTACCTTTTAATTTTCAGGATGTGGAGGAATCTGATGACTTTTTCATGCTTTCAGTTTTAGCTAACGAGAATTTGAATCCTTTCTTTGTGTTTAGATTACAAAGAAGAGGGCTTCCCACAAGCCAACTTATGAAAATTTACGGAAGAGTTTAGAAGCCATGAAGTCCCATTGTTTGAAGAATGGAGTCACTGAAATCTCCATGCCCAGGCAAGGAAATTAAGGGCCCTACCTGAAGAGTTAATTGATTGATGAGGTTTACTATTTAACCCCAAAACAAACAACTTCAAAGCTGAGCCAGAAAAGTAGATTCAAAGGTAGACAAATAGGGAAACCTGTAAAGCCAGAGAAAGGAGTGTGATTTTAGGCCACAGCATAGCCATTTTCTAGCCTTAGTCAATGGATTAGGATAAATAACTTGAAACACACACCTGCCTCAGCCTACTCAGTGGGGAGGACTGATTGTCAGTCACATTGCATTTCCTCCATCTGATGCTTAAAACTTGGTGTCTGCAGTGTAAGCCAAAGACTGAGCAATTGTGGTTTCCCTCTGTGTGACTTCTGGTCTCCCAGACCTGTTAATCATGTTGGAAGAAAGTTGTAAGTGATCACTGTCTTTTGCACTGCATGCTTGTTTTGTGGTCAGTGTGGGTAGCAGCCAAGGATTTGTCTCTGATTTCCCAGAATCGAGCTATTGGGGACTGAAAGGAATGACCTTGGTTGTTCTGTGACTACTTCCTTTTCAGGATATTGTCATCCAGTTTAGAATTAGTGCTGACCCTACATGCTGATTAATCACAAGTCCCAGTTACTTTGAACATGTGTACAATGACCATTATTTCACACCAAGCCTGGGCACTGTCCCTGAGCTATTTTGCTCAAGGCCAGTGTGATGCCACTTGAGCTACAGCTCCACTTCTGTTTTGTTTGTTGGTTTATTTTTGGTGCTTAATTGGAGATAAGAGTCTCATGGACTTTCCTGCCCTGGCTGGCTTGTGACTGTGATCCTCAGATTTCAGCCTCCTGAGTAACTAGGAATACATTTAGCCATTTTAGTACCTTTCCGGCTATAGACTAATTTTTTTTTAAGATTACAATTCTTTAGGAACTTGATTTGTAAGGTAGCATTTTTAAAGCTACTTTTTTGTCCCTGGGGATGTTAAGTACCAATAAAGTAATGTCTTGGGAGAAAGGTACCAAGGGTGCTTTTATGGAATGAGATTTCATGCCAGGGTGTTGTAAAGACTTTATTCTTGATTGTCAGCTGCTTGGTATTTCCCAATATTCCTTCTTGACTTTTGTAGAGATCTTGTCCTTTGTCCCACTTCTTTTTATCATCATTAGCATCTCATTATAAGCATATTTGAAAAGTACCAGGTTTTTCTGATCCATTGACAGACAATTTTCATCTAGCGTACCAGTGTGATAGTAGTATGAAACAACTGTAAAGTGCTACCTTATTAAGCAAAGAGAAGTGACAGCTGTTGGGTGTTAGGGCTGCCTAGGAACAGTAACAGGTGATGTTATAAGAATTGACATCAGACAGTTACTATGGCTATAAGTGTGAGACTAGATGACTTTATGCTTTGAGTGTCTTCAGCCCAAAAGAAGGGGGAAAGGAGCAAAGTCCTAGCTCCTTCCATTACAACCAATGGAGGTGTTTTGTCTTTTTTAGGATTGGATGTGGTCTTGATCGTCTGCAGTGGGAAAACGTATCTGCTATCATTGAAGAGGTATTTGAGGCAACAGACATCAAAATTACTGTGTACACACTCTGAACAGATGAACATTTTGGACGTGTCTGTGTTCTCCTGTGTCATCCCTCCTTGGCCATAGGAATGAGCAAACCGACTTTAAAATGAGCAGAGGAAAATGTTCATGTAAAGGACTCAATGTCATAGGCAATACCTAGGCTGCTATATACCATTGCTTTTGGGACTCTGGTGGAGGGATTACTTGGGATATATTTCTAATTTTTTTCAAGAGATTCAGGAGTATTGGCCTAATACTAGGTGAGGAAAGGAGGGAGATAGGACTGGTTTTGCTCCAGTATGTGTCCTGATTTGTTTAGCTGACCACTAGGTGGCAGCATTGAATCTTTTTCTCTGCTTTTTTACAAGAAATTTCAGAAAGGGAAGGTTTGAGTCACTTAGGTTTGTTTTTATTAGTTGTACACTTAACTTGGTGTTGTTCTTGTCATCAAGTTTATCCTAGGAGAAAAGTATGTGTTGTTTTGTTTTCATTACAAAATAGAGAATTGAGGTCTACTTTGTTACCAAGAATTTATGATGACAAAAAATGGAAAAATAAATCTTTTTCTTGGAGTTCAGTGAGGTTCTCTGCTCGTGTCTGTGCTGTTTTGGACTTGGGTAACAGGAGACAGGAGGGACTAATTTGAAGAGTCTGCAGATGGTCTACTGGAAGAGTAGCAAGGTAAGAAATAAAAATGAACAAGAACTATGGGTCAGCATGATTAGAATGCAGGATTTAGAATCTCATGGTAAGTTCTATTCACTGCATAGTTCCTGCGTCTGAATGCAACAAATCATACTTAAGTGCCTGATATTAGGTTAATGGTATAGTGAATCCCAAAGTCTATATGAATCTCCTTAAAAGCATAAGGACCTTTTCCTAAAAAATTATTTTATTTCGATGTCAAGGTGGGATTATAGGTTTGTATTTTGAACCTCTCTAGAAGATTCTGGCATGTAGCAGCTAGGGTCTCAAGAATAACCAGTAAATATTAGTTGGTCCTCTTTTTCCCAAACTGGGAGGGCAAGTCCTCTCTTGTTTTTATGGTAGGAGAGTAGAGTTCATTGGTTTAGCCAAGGGCTTGGTATTAAAGCCATTGGGGAAACTGAGTGTCTCTCCCTTCTCATCATTGGTGCTAAAAGTCAAAAGTAGCTGGAACTGCTACTGGTCTGTCTGTCTGTCTCTCCCTCCCTCCTTCTCTCCCTCCCTCCCTCCCTCCCTCCCTCCTTCCCTCCCTCCTTCCCTTCCTTCTCTCCCTCCCTCCTTCCCTCCCTCCCTCCTCCCTCTTTCTCCTTCCTTCCTTCCTCTCTCTCTCCTCCCTCCTCCCTCTTTCTCCTTCCTTCCTTCCTCTCTCTCTCTCTCTCTCTTTCTTTCTCTTTCTCTCTCTCTTTCTTTCTTTCTTTTTTCCTAGGTCTAGTTATAGAATTTGCTGCTTTCTTTAGTGTTAAGAAAACAAGTAATGGATGTTAGAATGGGCTTACGGGAAAGCCAGGATCTTCGTACTTTAGACTCCTGTTCTTATCACATTTCAATCTGCTAGGAGGCAGCAGTCTCAGAAAGTACTAAACTATATCTTTGCAGAGCAGGCAAATGCTGCCTGGCTTTGGGAGTAGGTTGGGTAAGCATGTGCATTGGTAAACTGTTAATCTGAGGCTTTTCTGGAAGTGTGCTTCTATGAAACAAAATTTAAGGGGGAAAAGGAGGAGGAAATATCTAAAGGCATAAAAGTGAATGAAAATGGGTGGTAGCCAACAGTTAAGTATTTTGTTTAACTCTGCATAATAAATCTTTTTTATTTTAATTAATCTTTGATATGGTGAGGATTGGACCCACGGCCTTGTACATCTAAGGCAAATGCTGTTTCAGACCTTTCCTTCTGCAAATAAATCCTAACATTTGGATCAAAACATTGTTTCCTACACTTTTAGAAAAGGTTTTAGCTAATTTTTTTCATGAAGTATGAGCTTTGTTTCTTTTGCTGAAACCTTTTCCCACCTAGGATTGTCTGCTGGTGGAATGCAGGGACCCACCAGAGTTGTGATAAAGAATTCTTGTCAGTTGCAGGTAGTCTTGGGGTCAAATTCTAGTGACTTATCACACTTGAGCCCTGGGGTAGGCAGCAGGGCTTGATAATCAGAATGAGTACGTTCTTCTTGGAAACCCAAGTTAGAGTTTGGCAAACACTCAGAAATTCATATGCAGAATTTTGCTTCTTCAAACAAACCTCTGAAGAAATAACTTGCCCATTGTCCTGCCATCACTACCATGTGCCAGGTGTTGAACGCTATTACACAATGTATATGTGAGCACTGAATTGCTTTTCACTCCTCTTTAATCAAAAGCTAATTTCTTATTAGTAGACAGTTGGAGTGTGGCTACCTTATTTCAGTCCCTGTGCTTTTTGTTCTGTCCTCTGCCATGTGTCTTCAGAAAAGGGAAAAACTCTCATTTATAAGTAATCCAGGGGGAGAAATCGTTTTTTACATGTTAGGGAGGGGCAATCCACGATCTTGCACCTGCTAGGCAAGTACTCTACCACTGAGAGCTACCTCCCAGCCCTTTCAGAAGGAAATATTTAAGATCAAGATAATGTGGGAAGTCTGCATGAGAGAGTTAGTGCTGGTGTTGTCTCATCAAGTTCTGGTAGACTCTCCTCTTCATAATGTAATGGCTTGGTTCTTAGCCTAGGACACCCCATCCCAAGTCTTACTCCCGTTTGTGATAAACTTCCCAGGTGCAAGTTCCTTAAGAAACCAGGCCACAGAAACCTCACACTACTTTTTTATTACTGTAAATGTTGCTGGGTTTTTTTTTTTTTTGCCTTTAAAAAAAAAACAGCTCAATACCTTAACATCAAATGCATTTCTGGACATATTTCAAAGATCTGTACCTTGGGTCTGAGGACCTTTGCCTTAAGTAGCCTCGTTGAGGGGTCCTTAAAACCTTCAGCCCCAGATGCCTGGTGCTCATATGTGGTGGCTTTTTCTCCTTGTAGACCACTTTCCCCTTTGCCAAGGGCAGTGGTAAAGAGACAGGGATAGCCTAAATGAATTACAGCGATGAGAAGTGTGTTTTGAGTTCTCTGAGGGCCTTGTACAGGAGGGTTGGTTGGTTTTCAAATGTTGTCCAGCTCCAAGTGGTGATAGGAAGACAGGCGTGTCCCAAATAGCATACAAATCACTGCTTCTCTTGCGGGCAGCAGGCAGACCTTTGTAAAAAAAAAAAAACCAAAGCATATTATCAAGAGTCCTGCTGCTACTCAACAGTTACAAGTTTCTGAGCAAAGGTTGCTGTATGCCTTCCCCAGCAAGTCCTTGGACTTCTCCTTTGTACTCTCCTGTGGTTCCTGGCTGACTTGGTATTCCATTTATTTCTTTCATATTTTGGTGTGATTTACACAACTGAAAATGTAGATCTACTTTAATTCTGTTGTCTTGAAAAATATATGGCTAGACATTCTGTTATTACTATTTTCTTAAAGCATGAAGTAAAAGTTAAGTCAGGTGCAGGATGCTGAGATTGGGAGGATCAAAATCAAAGGCCAGCTTAGGCAAAAAGTTCATGAGACCCCTTCTCAAGTAACAGCTGGGCATGGTGGTGTGCGCTTATTATCCCAGCTAGTAGTAGGCTGAGATGGGGAAGACTGCGGTTCCAGGCTAGCCCAGCCAAAAAGTTTGGGGGACCCTGGCTCAAGGGAAGCATGCTAACAGCTCAGTTTCATATGTACACTAAAGAAAGAGGTGTATATGTATTATTCAATTAAATCTAACTTAGCAATGAACTTTTCTCTCAACCTGGTTTTTGTTTCCTCCTCTTCTTCCTTTGTTCTTTCTCTTCTCTCCCTTATTAGTATTAGATAAAACCTAAAGTACCTAAAGTACCTAAAGTATAACATTAATAAAAAGTATAAAAATAATTTAAAAATCCTCTTTGAAATGATTAATGTTAATAAAAAAATCTCTGGGAAGCAAAGCAAAGCAAAACAGAAAGTCATCTCTGAATACTTCCTAGTGAGGGAGCTAGAAGAAGTGGCCCTATAAAAGATGTTTAAGAAGAAATAATGAAGAAGAAATAGTGAGGCTCTTCTACTAAGCTGACATCATCATTCTGTAGAGTCTCAGTTGGGTCTGTAATGAGAGCGAGAGTACTGACACCAACAAAATCTTGGAGGAATTTTAAACATTTAAGCTTTGCCTTTTCAGAGGTCACTCTTGGAAATTGTCTATACTGCTACTCTCCATGACTCAAAGTACTATTCGCATTTTATTTGATCAGATTGCCACATGTTATTGCTCTACCATAGACTGAATTCAGTGATTTTTTTTTAAGAAAAAGGACACAAAGTATGAAAATTATGTCTTCACAGACTATCAGATGTCCATTCTGAATATCTAGGTGCCGTGTGTGTGTGTGTGTGTGTCTGTGTGTATGTGTGTATGTGTGTGTCTGTGTGTGTGTGTCTCACAGGCAACATCTGCCCGCATCAACCTACTATTTTCTAAACGTGCCAATGAAACAGTATCGTCTCTTAAGGGTATTAGGAGTGAGAAACACCAAAAATAAATAGGATGCTCTTCGTGGAAGGATGTAGCCTTCATGGTTTATTAATACATGACTTGCTCCAGAATCAAAGCGGGTGCCAGGGTGGTGAAGAGCCTTCTCTGTCACTGGGCGATTTTGATCAGTAACTCGGGCTTTGTAAAGGGGTTCAGCTCAGTCACAGCCTTTCTTTGGGAGCAAACTAGATCAGATCAAATTCAAAAAAGGTAGTAAAAGATCCTTTCTACCCTCTTTCCTAAGGATAATTGGCCTGTTTCTGTAAGAGTCTAATTTACCCTCAGCAAGAGGCCAAATTGGCCTTAATTGTGTCCTAATTATTTGCTTAAATAGCTAATCTTTACTTCCAGTTCTCCTATCACCTCCTGATATCTGCAGGAGGCTACTTCTGAGCTGCTGCCTAATGTACAAACATCTTTTTAACCCTTTAGACATTCCTGTATAAAGTAGCTTGTTGCTCTGCCACCCTGATTCCTGGTATTCAGCATTTTCTATTACTTCTGCTGAGCTCTTCTCCATAAAGAAAATGAACTTGGCATTATAAATTCATACCACCATTATTGATCTCTCTCAAACATAAGCCTTTGTTTGTAAACCTGAAAGCCTATCTGCCCCCAAACCAAAAGATGAATATGAATTCCACCAGTGAAAGAACCTCCCTTATAGGGTGAAAGTCCTATGCAAGAAGCTGAGCCCTGGCATCTGACACCTGTAATCCTAGCTGCTTCAGAGACTGAGATCTGAGTATCAAGGTTTGAAGCCAGCTGTGACACTCTTATCTCTAAATAACCAGCAAAAAGCTGGAGCTAGATGTGTCTCAGATGGTACAATGCCAGCTGTGAGCAGAAAAAAAAAAGCCAAGCAGGGGGCCTTTAATTCAAGCCCCAGTACCAGCACAAAGAAAACAAAACCCCACCTATATTAGAGATAGAGGCTAGACTGCAAGTGAGTTTGGGAGTGGGGAATCTAGGAGTGCAGATTACATCTGGACACCTATACCAAGGGACAGAGGACTCACTTCACGTCCAGTAACTTCCCCATACATCTAAGCCTTTCTGTCAACTTTGAGTATTTGTATTCAAATTCTGGGAGTAGGAGGAAAAAGGATTTAGGCACAGGGATGCAGGCAAAAGAGAAAACCAGAGCAAGCTGTTAATCTCCCAAAGCAGTGAAGTGTTAGGCCACTCATTTCCTGACTTCTGGCCTGCTATCTAAGTGGACAGCTAACCAGAGATGGTGCTGTAGCCCAGGAAAACTCACAGAAGCCTGGAGCCAGTAGCCTACTTCAGGATATCCGCCAGCTTCTCCTCATAATACAGGAAGTTCTCCTGAATGTCCTCCCAGGGCTCAAAGGCCTTTGATTGCCCTTCTTCTTGCTCCACGAAATTCTGCCAGATGTACTCGAAGTCCTGGGGCTTCATGATTCGTAGCTTGCAGCCAGCTTCCTTGAGCTTCTTCAGAGCAGCCTGGATCTCTGGCTCCTCCCACATGAAGAGTCGACCCACCAGGATGAGCAGGCGCAGGTTTTTGGTTTTGGCCAGGGTTTTGATGATGCGATCGGCACAAGCTGCACAGGGGCTGGAGGACACATACCAGGTGACATTGTAGCGCAAGGCGGGGTCGAAGGTCGGCAGGATAGTGTTGAAGAAGGCCTCCTCTGCGTGGGCAGCTGCATGCTCATCTTCTAGGTAGCCTCGAGATGCTTGCACTTGGCCTCCCTTGCCCTGGGCCTCCACCACATAGCAGAGGAAGGTCTTGTTCCGCCCGGAACTGTATTCCACATTCCGGAACTGAAACTTAAAGAAGTTGACTGGTAGTCGCTCCCTGTAGAGCAGGAACACAAAGGGTCAGGGAAAAGAAGAGAGACAATGAATTATTGTTTCTAGGACCAGCCTAGAGTAGGTAGATCTCCAAGACACATGTACTGTTACTAAAAATACGCTTTGCCTAAACTCATGTAACTGATTTAAAAAAAAAAAAAAAAGGCCAAGGAGAATCCAGAAGCATTTTTGTGGAGGAGAAGAGAGAATTGGGATCGGGGTTTGCGTTCTGTCCACTTTACTAGGAAGGAAACATCGCAAACACTATTTTCACCATCACCCTTAACAACACATTCCTTCTTCTCTCTCCTTTCCCAGCCTCCTTCCTCCCTCTCTATTTGCTTCTTTTTTTCTTTCTTTCTTTGGCAGTACTGAGGTTTGAACTCAGGGAGTCACACTTGTTAGGTGGGCACTCTACCACCTGAATCATGTCTTAGCTCTTTTTCTTTCAGTTATTTTTCAGGAAAGGTTTCATTCCCCTTTCTTGTCCGTCCATCCATGTCATCCCCACCCCTCCCCCCCCCGGGCCGCCAAGGGGCTAGTTGGAGACTGCATACTCGGCCCCTTTCCCCTTTCTTTTGACAAGTTTTGCTTGGTAGTCCAGGCCTCAAACTCAAGATCCTCTTGTCTTAGCTTCCTGAGTGCCTTGATTACCGGAGGATCATGCAGCTCCTGTTCCTGAGTCTTCAGCAAGTGAATCTTTAGCAAAAACTATTGCTTGGGAGTTACACAGGAGACAAAAATGTTGGGACTGAAACTCACCTCAAACTAACTCAGAATGTCTGGAGGTATCGGGGAAGGGTCCCAGGCATCAATAAAAAAAAAAATCTATAAATAGTGTCAGAATGTGGCTTGGTTTGAAACAGTGTTCAAACAGCACATTTACCAAGTAGCAAGCATGTTAAATTTCTCATGACAAAGCAAGACAAAGATTTTCCAGAGTATTTCATGCTTTCATTTCTCCATTGAGCTCATATAAACTGTATTTGGGGCATGGGAAGGCTTATGTCTTTAGTACCACGCTCTCCTGTTTCTCCAGACTGTCTTTTCCTTCAGGTGACAAGGTTGTCATATCGCCAGTGCCCAAGCCCATGGACTGTGAGAGACCCAGGAGAGGCCCTGAGATAGTGAAGTTCATGTGTAGCACTGAGTTGTTTCAGAATCTTGAGTGGTTTGGTCTTTGCTTTCTAGATGCTTCTAATCTAGCAGCTAGATTCTAGCTGGATGGAAGAAAATGTAAATATAGCCAAGAACATCAGAAGACTGCTAAAAAGTGGACCAGCAGAGTAGAGGACACATGGACCTCCTTGATTCAGGTGGTAGTAAGGAATAGCTCCTCTCCTTTTATCTTTTGGTGGTTCTGTGGTTTGAACTGAAGGGCCCCAAAGCTTGCTAAGCTGGTACTATACCACTTGAACCATATCTCCTGATCTGCTTTTTGCTGATTATTTGGAGATGCAGTCTAGCAAACTTTTCTACTTTCCTGCCTGGGCTGGCCTTGAACTGTGATCCTCAGATCTCAGTCACCTGAGTAGCTGGGATTACTGGTGTGAGCCACTGACTCCCAGTATATTTCCTTCTTTTTCCTCAGAAAGGTCATCAGACTCCCTGGGCAGCGGGGGAATCCCTGGGTCCAAGGCTTTGGCTACTTACGGATAAGCAGCAGATGCCAAAGAGCTAAGTAGACTTGAGTCATTTCTCTGCAGGATTCCCTCCTCCTCCATCCATCACCTAATTCACTCCACTCAAGTTTCCATGTCTCTTGCTGTCAAGTTAAGTCTCCACTATGGAGATGGCTGTGTTTGAGGACCTGGCCTTAGGATCCCTTTAGGTCCTATATTTAACTCTCTAAGCCCCTCTGTCCCTGGCTAGAGGGGTTTATTATTTACTTAACATTTCAGTGGAGTGGATCACCTGACATTTCCCCTTTCCTCTTCCAATCCTTGAGGGAACTCCATGCGCACTGAGTTCTTCCTAGTTATACTCACCCCACCAGACCTCTCCTGAGCTCTGCTGCTTATGTCTGGGTTCCAAAAGTGTTTTTTTGCTCTTGAGAAATACACAACATGCTTACTTATTTATTTATTTTATTTAGTCAGTCTCTCTTGGGGCTTGAATTCAGGGTCTGGGCACTGTCCCTGAGCTCTTTTGCTCAAGGGTAGTGCTGTAGCCCTTTGAGCCACTTCTGGTTTTTGAATGGTTAATTCAAAATCCTGGGCTGGCTTTGAACTGTGATCCTCAGATCTCAGCCTCCTGAGTTGCTGGGATTACAGGCATGAGCCACCGGCACCTGGCTATTTTTTTTTTAAACCTAAGCCCTTTTTTGTTCTTTAAAGCCTTTTGCCAGACTACCCCCTGTACCCCAGTCCAATCCAGAGCCACCTGTAGAATGGATTGCCCAATGGAGAATGGAGTAGAGGTATTCAGGGAGTCCAGCAGAAGCAGCAGCCTGCATGGTCCTTCATGTTTCATTCTGGAGCCAAATACCCTTCCCTCTCCCCCTGTCCTGCATTGCTTTAACTCCACTGAGTGCTGCTTAACCAAGAGCAAGAATTTGACCTGGCTTACAACTGCAACTGGGCTGGATGATTGTGAGAAGCAGCCTTTCTATAGCCCCTCCCTGGTAGGTTCTGACATTTGTCCCTCCCCCTTTTTCCCTTGGCACCAGGGAAGATCGAGAGAAACCCGAACCCCACGGGAGAGGAGAAAGGTCACCTCTCTATAAATATCTGTTTCTGACCCCGCTGGCCAACAGCCCTAAGAGTCTGTTCTGGCCCTCAGCAGGTGCCTCAGGAGAAGTGCTTTCAAGGGGCAAAGGAAAGACAGGAAAGTTTGGCTCCCAGAGTTTCCCTCCCTTGAGCTTGGCCCAGAGACTGAGCTTGCTTGGCTTTGCAATGGGCTTCTTGGAAGTTAAAATGAGGTTCTTTGGGCTTCACATAGACCACAACAGACAGGGCCTGGAGAGAAGCCAGGAGAACAGAAGTGGTAGAGGTCTGCAATGTCTGCAGGGAGCTGGACAGCATGGCCATCTTAGGTGATTTTAGGCCAAATAATAGGAGTCATCTAACTTTTTAAAATCATTAGCATTCTTTTCCCCTAGCAACATGACATGCTTAAATAATTTATTTACTTTAGCCTTTTATTCTCAACCCCAGCAGATATGTCACTGAAAAAGGTGTGTGTATGTGAGTGTGTGTGCCTGTGCACATGTGCTTGTGCACATGTGTGTTACTGTGGTGCTGGTAGAGTGCTCTCCCTCTGTGTCCAGCCCCTTCATCCACAACACCAACAGCACAGTTCCTCTCCTCTCCCCACATCCTCACGTGTGAACACCTCTGTTAGGCATCATTTTCACATATTTTTCTTAAAACAAGGCCATTGCTCTGCTTAGACTACCAGTCTACTGGGCATCTCATGAAACGAATAAGGAAGCTCAAAATCCTAATACCTAGCAAAAATTACAAAGACGGGCTGCTTGATGAGAGAGGAGATATTTGGTACCTAGTCTTTCTCAGATTTGCATTTACAAATTGGTATTTGCTATGCAAAAACCCGTAGTGAAAGGGAGCAACCTGGAGGCCAGTGGATATGAGGTTAAACTTTTGCTCCAAAATAAGCCATAGAGAGGGAAATCTAGTCACAGGCCCCTGAATGTCCATTCATTTCAACTTCCCCTCACTAAACCTGACAGTGATCTGATTGAAAGAGGTAGAGTTATTGGTTTAATTTGGCTGTTTTCTTTTGCAGATCACTTCCCAGGTAGATGCCAAGGAGTTATTATAATCAGGGAGAGGAGTGTGGATCAGAATGAGAGGGTTCTAGGGCTAGCGAGGGGGTTCCAAATTTGAAGGACCAGACGGGATTTTATCCAAGGCAAGTGCGGCGTCACCCTCTTCTTAGGAACTGCTCACTCAGCTTTGACTTCCCACCAGCCCTTCCCAGAAGCCAGGGTTGCCAGCTGGGCTGTCTTCCCTTCTGAATGGCATGCCTCCCTTCTCCTGTGTGTCCCTCTGCTTAGTAAAATGCAGGGGCTAAAGCAGTGACCCAAAGATTTCTTCTATCTGTCATTTATTTCTGGCCCATCATTTTGTCTTTGATAGCATAGTCTACAAAAGCATACAGGACACTTCTAGAGACAAAGACAAATATACAAGTAGGTGTGCCGTGCAGGCCTACTCACTGTTTCCTGCGATGGAGAGATGAGATGGGATTTAGCCAACCTCAGAGCCCTAGACATCCACCAAACTTTCTGTAGACTGAGACACACTCACCAAGAAAATTCTCCTTGTACCAGCATTGCCTGGAACCCCTTAGACTTGCCTGAGTGTAGCTCCACAAGAGGCCCCACTCCCAGTTTATTCTATCATGAGATCTTGCAGAGAGCCTAACATACAACCTGTGCTAATTCATTAGGTCATATTTTTTATTCCACTAATATTTATTGAGTACCTATTAGGAGCTGAGTGCTAGAGATAAGGCAGTGAAAAAGACACATTCCTTGTCCCTGTGGAGGGTAGAGATACTGGTGGGGGAATCGGGCCAGAGGAGAACAATTTGTATTCAGTAAATATTTGTGAATAGGAAAATCTTCTTTATGGTTTTTTATTTTGTGGTGTTTTGGAGTATGAAAGGCCTAGGATTCATGTCTGCATGCTATCTTTGGGCAAACTACTCATAACTACCTGTCCCTCTAAGGTTTAGATTCCTTATCTGAGAGAAGTACTCCAACCAATCAGATTTTAGACAACAAGTAGATACAGTAAATTAAAGCTAGTCTTGATGGATGGAATGCCTTCTCTAACCCTCAAGTTATAATCTCCAGAGCTCCATAACCTGTCCCTCCTCTACCCTTCCAGGGTAGAAGTTCCTTTTTATTCTCTTCTTCAGTGGCATGCTTGCTAATTGTTTAACAACTAGCTCTCTGAAAGAAAATAAAAATCTTAGATTCCCAACACTTGCTGATTTCTCTAGTGTATTTCTACTATGGCAATTTCAAGCCAGCAAAATAAGGCCCTTGATACAGATAGGGAATGGATATACACAGCTGGCTTTCAAGCCAATAGGAGCTCTTTCCCCGCCCCCATCTCCACCCCCCCTTGCTGCCCCCATGCTTTTTTCTACCATGGTACTTTGTTAATGTGCTTAGGTCTGCTTTCTGAGTGTCACAACAAGCAGAGTTGTGACTCCTCTTCCTACCAGGTACCTCCCCCGCCCATATTAGATGTTTCCCTGAAAATCTGCTCCTCTGCTAGCTTTATCCCCTATATGCAGGGAGCTTGGCTAGGAATGGAGTCGCCTTGCTGATCCCTTATATTCCAGGGCATGTGGAGACAGAGGAGAGGAAAGCTGTCTCCTCTCCCTCAGCCGGCACAGACATAGCTGTACCTCGGGGCTATTTTAAGCCTCTGTTTATCCAGAGGGGCCCAGGAAACAGATTTCCCAGTGGTTCCCTGTGGCCAGGAAACACTCAAGGTTCTGCCTCCCACCTGAATTGGGCTCAGAACTCACTGGGAAATCTGCCCTCTGAGCCTTGGATCCTGGGCAGCCCTCAGCCTTCACTATCTTGTAGGTGGAGCTAAGAGGAGAAGAACCTTGGGACTCAGGAAGGACCTGCCACTTCCTGGTGCTTTGGTCTTGGACCTGTCAGCTGAAGTCTTCATGAGTCTCAGTTTCCTTTTCTGTAAAATGGAAAGTATTGAGCCTTAGGAAGTATTAATCCATTAGTCTCATGGAAAGTATTAATCTCCCTTTTCCAGCATTGCGCCAAGGTGGGGGACCGTGGGGGGGGGGGGAAATGAGCTCATTCACTTAAAGTATGTTGTGATTAGAAAGCCTTGGACAAATGTCAGTTATATCAGAGGATCTAACCCTTCAGGACTTGCTGCCCTGGGAACCCAAAGCATGTTCGCTGAACGAAATAGTCTAACTTTGTACTGGCCCCTGTTCTGGGGAAGATCACAGCGCTGCGTGGAGTTATGTCTACATGTGTGTGACCAAGGACAGCATGGTCCAGAGTGCTCAGGTCTTAGAGAAAGGATCACTTTCCACAGGCAGCCACTGGAACTGCTCCTGGCCTGGTTGCCCTCGGCTTTCCCTGTGTCTATATTCGTCTGTGCCCAGCTGCACCCTTAATCTCAGGATGAGGGTGGGATGAGGGGAGAGTGCATGGGCAAATGGAAGTTTGGAGGCTACTCAAGCCTCAGGAATGAGGCTGTGTTCTCCTGCAGACTCTTAATAAATATCTGAGCAGGAAGGGATCTTGGGTATCAACCAATGTAGCTTCCTCATTTCAAATTTTAAAATGGTAAAATGGAGGCCAAGCCTGGGAATTCACTTGTCCAGCCCCACACAGTAAGTCCAAATGACTGCCCAGGGCTGCTTCTCTCCTCAACAGCATCATATCTCCATTCTTCCTGAATTTTCTCTTAGTGTGGTAAGCTCTCTTCCTGTGCACATTGCTGGAGATCCCCAGGAAAGCCCAAGGCTCAGGGAAGAACTGTGGCCTCTTATATTCCCTTCTGGTCATCTGTTTAGGAATATCGCAGGGAAAAGGAAGATGACTGGTTGGTTTTATTCCTGGAGAGGGCATGATCTAATGCCTTTTCTATAGCCATAACTCTCTTTCTCAGGCTTCAGTTCTATAGGCTGTGGCTGAGCTCATGGGAATGTTTCTTTGTCCATGGCCTCTGTGCTGTGATCAGGGTGGGGGTGGGTGGGTGGAGCAGACAGACCAAGGGGAAGTAGGGAGGCTCAGCAGAGATTCAGTAAGGTTGAAACTGCTCACTTGGCCTTCAGGAAAGACAGTTCTGTCTTCTGTGTTTGAGGATTTTCTATCCCAGAGAGAAGCACTAAAGGAAATAGTAAAGACAGATACATAGAGGAGAAACCAGCTCAGAAGTAGAGCAGAGAGAGTAGCTGACTTTGACTGGGGCCTTCTTTAATTGTGCCAGCCTTACCAACCCCTCAGGGACTGAACTACCCAGAGGGGATACGTGAGTCCCTAGGTTCAAAGGCCTGCGAAGCAGTATCCTTCTCTGGGCTTTGCCTCTAGGGAGCTCCTCCTACTGCTTTCCCATTAGAGAGCCTAAGAATCTAGCAGAAATGTTCTGTTTCCCGGAGACACAGGTGTATTCTTATGGCCACAGGGTGTGTGGAGGGGCCAGGGGTGGAATGGGGGTGACCTCTACTTCTATTGTAAACTACCCAGGCCTGCTCCAAGCCCTTGCTTTCCTGGGGAGCGGCCCACCCACACGAGAGTCTCACCCGCTGATGATCTCAAAGGGTGGCAGATCAATGAGTTCCTTCAGCTTCTCGGGGTGTTCGGCGAGGTCCTCCAGGTCCTCCCCATTTTGGGAGGTTGGCTCCGGGGCAGCGGCAGCGGCAGCAGCGGCCTCTTCTTTCTGGGCCATGGAGAGGCTGTGGCTCAGAAGTCACAGAGAGAGGAGAGGCTGTGGGCCTGGCCAGGGCTGGGCGGCAGACTCCCAAGCAGCTGTCAGCAGCTGAGTCTGGCTGGGGATGACAGAAAGAGGAGCCGCAGGGCAGGCTTTGTGCTTGTACCCCCGCAGCCCCAGGCTTTATAGCCAGGGCCTCCTGCCCCTCCTCCCCTAAGCCCTCTCCCTCTATCTTATTTTAATTGAGTGACAGCAGATGCCAGAGTGGGGGAATGGAAACTCTGGCCATGAATCCCCTATTTATCAGTGGGCAAAGACAGGAAACTGGCAGGTTGGAAGCCTGGGCCTGGTCCTCCCTGCCTCTCCCTCTTCTCTTACACTGCATTCTTCCCTGGGTTCTGATCCAACTTTTCCAGCTCCATGGGAACCCCGTGGAAGGGGCTGTGGAGTCATCCCGAGATTCAGGGGAGAAGCCATCTCAGAGTTGTAAGCAGGAGGAGGCCTGTATTGAAAGAAGGGTGGTGGTTGCAAAGAAACCTGGGTCATTTCCACTGGAAGGAAAACTGGAGTTGGGAAAGGAAGGCTCTGGGAGGGATCAAGTGAAAACCAAGGATTTAGGGAGGAGAGTATGTGTTGTGACTGACTAGCCTATGACATACCCATGATGCAATGCCAATTGACAGAAGCTGTCATTCGCTGAGCTTCAAGATTTTTAAGTAGGCTAGGCAAGAAGTTCAGTGCAATACCTGTGAAAGTGGACTTCATGCACTCTACAACCCTGGAAGGCAATGGCACTCCCCCTCCCGTTACATGCGGGAGACTGAGGCTCACAGAAGGAGTAAGGGCCTCGCCTAGGGTTCATACAGTTCATAAAGAGCATAGGATATTTTATTCCAAAGGGCAAGCATTTCAGCCTCCAAGCTTTGTTCTCTCTCAGTGAATTCTGTTCGCATGTAAGATAATTTGTTGAGCATCTACTCTTGGCCAGGTGCTGTTTAAGAATTGAGACGGCAGCAAAGAACAAAGCAAATGGAAGTCCTGGCCCTCATCATGGAGCTTGGAGGAGTTGGATGATGAATAAGCTAAATAAAATAGATGGTCTGTTTGCTGTGGCTAAGTGCTAAAAAAAATAAAAGCAAGGTAGGGAAACAAAGAGTGACAAGAGGGGGAGATAACATTTTTTTTATAGGAAAGTTCTTTGAAAAGGAGACAGTGGAGAAAAGATGGAAGAAGGCAGGGGAAGGAGTCATGTAGCCAAGGGCCCAAAGCCCTGAGCTAGGAGCATTGCTGGTGGAATTAGCAAGGCTACCTAGAGAGGAGGCCAGAGAGAGAACTCAAGCTAAAGAGGCTGGGGTCCTATGGACTCTTCTTAAGACCAAGGTTTTCTCTGTATGAAGGGAAGTCATTTGGCTCTGGACAGATAAGACAGAGTTCCACTTCTATTTCTTCAGGACCACCCTAGCTTCTGGTTTGAACTTGAATAAAAGCAGGGAATAGGAGACACAGAGGGACCACAGTTTGAAGCCAGCTGAAACTAGATGATGGAGCGGGTTTGGAGTGGGGTGTCACTGAGCTAGCAGATACAGGTTAGATAGTTTCTATAGCATTCATGGTATGCTTAGCAGGGGCCACACCTCTTCGTGTTTGGGGCAGTGTAAACACTCTGGGACATTCTCAGGGACACAGAAAGGAGGGTCAGGGTTACCTTCGGGTTGAAAATGAGGAACCTAGGATCATTGAAGAACAGGTCTGAAAACGACTCTGACTAAGGGTTAGATGCTGTGACTAGGGAACAGGAGTTGGGTTGTTTGAGTCATTTGGAACTCTCTCTACCAACGAGTTGTGGGCAGCACAGCACATGCTTACTGTGGCTGGTGCCCAGCATTTTGCCCAGGATGCTCTTGGCATCTCCCAATAGTTCAGGTACAATCACTAACAGTTCCCCTTTCACACCTGAATGTATTCCATTTGGATAATAAATCACACCCTACCTGCTAGACTTATTACCAAACCCATTCTTGCTCAGAGATTATTTTCTCAAACATCTTCCCTGGGGAATGAAGCAAGGGTTAGAGGTAATAGTGCTTATGTCCACAATGAAAAGGCAGGAACAGCTGATGAACAGCACGGAATGTTTATTATGACACATACATAGAGAATTTAAATGCAAAGGGTTTACTCCATTCTTTTATGGAATCAACATTTACTATGGGCTCCTCGGTGCCAGGTGCTGTAGTAAATACTAAGAATGCAGAGATGAATAAGTGGAGCTCCAAGGCTTTATCACAATTGGGGCATCCATCAGGCACTCAGGCATGCCTTGTCTCATTGAACCCTCACACCAGGCACTCTTGGTGTGAATTATTGGCCTCATTTTGCAAGTCAGGGACCTGAGGCTTAGAAAGCAGAAATGATTGGTATTAAGATCAACAAGGATTTGAGTCCTGATCTTCTGAGATGATGTCCAGTCTGATTTCTAGGCCTGCACCCAGACAGATCTGGTTCCACATCTCTAATGCATTCTAAGTGGGAGCCCCTCTTCTACTTCCCAATTTGGACCAACCAAGGGAGAGCAAAATGTTTCCAGGAGGATACATCCAATCAGTTCACTGGTCCTCCAGGGGAGAGGCTCCCTTAGGAAAAGAACTTCCATTTGGACTCTCACATAATCCTGATCAGGAGAGGAAGATGTTTCAGTGCTACTTCAGGCCCTGATTCACTGTGTGATCTTGGCCAAATCATTGCCCGTCTCTGGGTGAATTGACCAAAAGCTTCCCCTCCTTTGTCTCCTAGGATGCAGGCCTACTTGTAAATGGCTCTCTATCAAGGATGGTCAAAGGGAGGAAAGGGAAGAAGCGGGGTAGATGGGGACAGGGTGAAGAGGAACCATATGGTCTGTATTCCCTGACTCTCCAGCCACTCTGAGTGACTGGGACACCGTGGTGCAGGGTGCCCCAGAGGGGCCCCTCATTCGTACCACATCCTTAGGAAATTTTCCCTTTGACCTTTGGGAGCGTGTTCAGAGCCTGCCCCCAGACTGATGATGGACAGCTTCCTTTTCCACTCCTCCTTTTCCACTGCTCTCACCCCAACTGCCATCCATGGAGGCCCGCTGACCTGCTCTGGCTATTTATGGCACCTCCCAGAGTCCTGAATTCCTGGCTGCCCCCTGGTGCTCCATTCCAAGTCAGAATAGTTCCCCACACAGGGCCCCAGAGTGCAGCAGCTAATCTAGAGGATCAGGTGCCAGGAGCTACCCTGCAGCTCTCTTTTTAGGGCTGGCACACTAGCTTCTCCTTCCTATATTAACCCTTTTGGGGGAGGTTCTGTCAGTCCTCCCCACTGCACAGGAACTGGACATATTTTTTAAAGCCACACAAAGAGTCAGTGGGGCACCAGCACTTGAGCTCAGCTCCTTCTTAGCCTCTATGTTCCAGGCTTTTCCCTGTCTAGAGTTCAGTAACATGGAGAACTGACATTAACATGCCCTGGTTGCCAGCCTGATGTTACCCTAAGTGCCTCCAGATAAATTCATTTACTCTTCACTAAGATATCCTATTATGCTGCTCATTTTACTGGTGAAGAAATAGACCCAGAAATTGAATGACTGGCCTAAGGTAGTTCTGCTAGAGAAGACACAGCTCTTGATTTCCAGAGTTATGCTTTTATAATATTTTTTCCAGTCCTGGAACTTGAAATCAGGGCCTGGGCACTGTCCCTGAGCTTTTGTGCTCAAGGCTAGCACTCTACCACTTGGGCCACAGCGCCACTTTTGGTATTCTGGTGGTTAATCTGGAGGTAAGAGTCTCACGGATTTTTCTACTCAGGCTGGCTTCAAACTGTGATTCTCAGATCTCAGTGTCCTGAGTAGCTAGGATTACAGGTGTGAGCCACCAGTGCATAGCTAGAGTCATGCTTTTAGCCTCATGCTTTTAGTCACTCCTTCTGCTACCAGGCCCTTCGAACTGAGAGAAGGGGATGAAATGGGAAGCTGGAGAGCATGGGAGTTCTTGCAGGGAGAGTGGGCTCTGAGAAGTACTGATCCAAAGAGGGGTATGTGTTTCTGTGTTGGGAATACTTACACAAAGGCCATGTAGCTGGGTGCCAGTGGCTCACGCCTGTAATCCTAGCTACTCAGGAGGCTGAGATCTGAGGATCACGGTTCAAAGCCAAGCTGGGCAGGAACATCCGAGATACACTTATTTCCAATTAACTACCAGAGAACCGGAAGTGGCACTGTGGCTTAAGTGGTAGAGTGTTCCCCATGAGCTGAAGAGCTTAAGGACAGTGCCCAGGCCCAGAGTTCAAGCCCCATGACAGGAAAAAAAAAAAAGACCCTATAACTGGTGCTGGCCAGAAGGTTTGTTTCTTTAACCCCTGCCTCCTGTAGAAGTCTTGAGACAAACTGTATCTTGTCCCATTTCCCAGGACCATCTGGGAAAGCATTCAGAGGTTCTCCTGGTGGCTGAGGAGGAAGGGACAGGGTCTCACATGACTGCTCTTATTGCGTCTTGGCAGCATGCAGGGCTGTCCTCTCTGTGAAGGGATCAGAAAGGCCAGGAGAAAACAGAAGCCTCACCAGGGGAAAGTTTAAATTCTCACTCTGTGAAAGAAGATACCTTTGGAGCGTGTTGATGGAGTGGGTGCTTTATGTGCAGGACAGCTGGGACCCCAACAACACGTTGCCCAGAGACCCAGCCCAGGCGTGCTACTCCTCTGGTCACTACTGAGACAAGGTACACAAACAACAGTCATGGCACCAGACACCCTCTGGCGGGCAGGAGTCTGCCCTCTCTGGCGACTACTCTGTTGACATAAACAGAAGGTGTCCAGGGCTTTGAGCGGCCTCCTCTGGGGATGGGAGAGAGGGCCCCGGGGTCTTTCAGAGTCTGATGCTGGGAGAAGGCATCCAAATCACAGGGCAGACCAGGGTTTTCAGCCTCCTTCTGCACTGGGCACAATGCTTGCCTTACCTTTGGGACACGCTGCCCTGGGTAAATGGTGACACCCAGGACTTCAGTCCTGGTCACCATAGTCTTCCGTTTGAGCAGCTATTCACAGCACCACCCAGCTTCCTTGGCATTGCCTGGCTGGAGTCTTTGGGGAAGGTGATCTGATAAGAATCGTGCCCATTAGGGTGACTAATAGTATTTCTCCTTGCAGGTGTGTTTGTAAGGCCAATCGGTGTACTGGGACAAAAACTATAAACTCAACAATCAAGTTTTGATAGATGAGAAAAGTTTTTGCGTGTGTGCAGGTGGGAGAGAGTGGAGGCTTTTCTGGTGCTCATCTGACAGAATATTTCTCAGTGGGTTGGGGAGCTCAGGGACATAGACACTAGACAGTGATTGAGGCCACCAGGAAATGACCAAGATGACTTCTGGCTTGCATGAGAGAGGAGGGGATATGAATGTGTGAAGGTGAGGGTTTTTTTTTTTTTAAGTTGTCTTTTTCTCATTCTATCTCCCCATAGAAAATATGCTCAGAGCAGAAACCGCCCCTCAGCAGCTCTGGGTATAACAAGAACCCAAGAAGCTGGAATTGTGACATGGGTGACTTATCTCCCAGCTCAACTCAGTGGGACCCACAGTTGAGTCTACACATATTTCCTGGCTCTTGGTCTATCCTCTCTATCCTCTCTGTTATGGTCTGAATATGAAATGCCCCCAACAGGCTCATTGTTCAACCTTTTGTCCTCAGACGGCAGTGCCAATTTGGGAGGTCCGGGAAACTTTAGGGGGGTAGCTTTTAGCTGGAGGAAGGGGGATAATGAGATCAAGGCTTGTGAAGGTTCTACCTAATTCTGGTCCCTTCCTGTGTCTCTGTTTCCTGTTCACCAGGAGGCAAAGAAGCTCTTCCACCACATGCCGTCATGGTGTTCTGCCCAAGCATATGAGACCAAACAACCATGTGCTGAACCATGTGAAACAGTGAGCAAAATAAATCTTTCTTCTCTTAAGTTGTTCTCTCAAGTATTGCTGTCACAGTGAGGAGAAAGCTAATATATGCTCTATAAATTATAGCATCGCTCTGGGGAAGGCAGACACAGAATGGCTGTCCCCAGTTTTAGCCTAAACTGTAAATAAATCCATTTTTTCCTTTTTTATATATGTTGTCATTTTCTCTCAGGGCAGATGAGCAGCCAGAACTCAGAGCCAGTTTTTTGGTTTTTTTTTTTTTTGGCAGGAACTCTAGTGACAAAGGGTCCTCAAAGCTAGAGAGGTAAAGGGTTTATGGAGCAGGTCTGTTTGGGTTGTCTTTACCTGAGGATAAAAGAGGAAAGTTGAGATGTGAGTGAGTCTTCAACAAAGCCAGGTTTGGGGGTGAGGAACTTGTGAGCTACTAATGACGATCAATGGTAACATTCTTAAAAAGAAGGGTCTTTTGCTGGTTTTCTGGAACTACAGAAAAGGGGAATTCTGGGAAGGCTCTGAAACTTGGCTTAAGGCAGAGGAAGTTCCCAGTGATAAAGTGGATAGGAAGAAAAAAGACCTCAGAGCCTGACATCATTGAAGTGGCTTCTGGGCATCTTTGATAACATGGGCTGTACCAGCGGGGAGGTTGGAAGAGCCAGAAGTACACAGGAAAAAAAACATTTCTCTACCTCCTTCCAAGCCAGCTGACCATCCTCTGATCACTGGACATATCAGTTGCTATCAGATCTCACCCCTCCATGGTTCCAGTCCATCCTGGGCTGGCTCCGTTGCTGTGAGCCCATGGGGAGGAAAAGAATCATGGCAGCCAGAACATGTGATATAGGAAGTGTCTCTTACCTCATGTATCCAGGAAGCAGGGAAGGGAGGGGAGCGGACAAGATGTACCCTTCAGAGCATGTTATTAGTGATGGACTTCCTCCACATACGCCAGCCTCCTAACAGCCCATTCGCTTTGACTCCGTCATTTTGTTAACCTGCTGATGAGGTTAGTTTCCTCAATACCCAGTCACTTCTGCATACTGCTGTATTGAGGAGCAAGCCTTCAAAATGTGAGTTTTTGCTAAGTGCCCGCAGCTCATGCCTGTGATCCTAAGCTACTTAGGAGGCTGAGATCTGAGGACCCCGATTTGAAGCCACGTAAAAAACCAAACCAAACCCGTGAGTGTTTAAGGGACATTTGATGTCCAAACCGTAAGAGTCTGGCTCCCGGGCCAGAATGGCAAACGATTGTACTGTCTTTATTTCCCAAGATGGCCTGACTCCCTGTCCCTGGAGTGGGGCTGGAGCCCATTCAGTGAGAGCCTCAGAAGGTCCCTGTGCTCCCTGCCCCCTTTTGAGAAGCGGAGTCCTACCACAGCAGTTTGTCCACTGGCTTCAGATGAGGATCAGGAGAAGTTTCTAAAACTATCAGAGACCTTCCCTCCTTTTCCACTTGATCCTGTAGGGATGGTGTCATTTTATTTTATGTTTTGAAGGGTGACAACATGCTCATGTATACTTTCATTCCATCAATCACAAGTATGTAAGTACCTACTCTGTGCCCTGCCCTGCCCTGTGGCTCCAGGTACAAAAGTAGGTGGGACCCCGTGTTTGTTCTCCTGGGGTGCTCGTGACCTGCCCTCTGGGTGGAGCTGCCCCTAGCAGAGGATGAGAGGCTACCGTGCCCTCTTGGCTGGGTGAGCTGAGGACTGGACCTGGCTGTTCCCTTATCAAGCGAGGCCGTCCGGCTGGCCTCTCCTTTGTGACACCTTGAGTCCCCATCTGTAAAGGCTCCGTTTGTCTTGGCTCCCAGAACCACAGTGTGTCACAGCGAAACAGGCTCCAAAGTGATACGTGCCAAGAGCCCCGGAACTTCAGTGAGCTGCTGATGGGCGTGCGAGGGAGCTCATTGAATCTGAAGATGCCAGGAGCCCATCCCTAAAGTTCTGATGTAGCAGGTCTCAAGTGAGACCCCCCAAAAGTCCAAAATGGGCTCTGGTACTCAGCTATAATCTTCAGCCCTGGCCATACCTGAAGACGTCCTGGGGTAGTCTATCAACAGCTGCTCAGGTCTCACCCCTCGAGAGTCTGATCAGTAGATTAAAAGCTCCTCCATGACCTCACCTCATTTCTGGTAGAGGACGACCCCTCCCATAAACTGCCAGGCATCTGGGCCTTCCCGAAGTTCTTGTTTTGGAGTTGGTGGGGGGTGAGTAGCCCCTAAGGCAGCCACTCATGGTCATGTTCATTGCTTTGAAGCATGAAGCAGAAGGTGAGCAGAAGAAAATAAGAGGAGGTAACAATTGAAAAAAAAGCCACTGAGGTTTAGAAAAGAGAGAGACATGAAAAAAGGCTGGATGAGAAGTTCCTGCTAAATTTCACCACTCAGAACCCTTTCCCAGCCCTTTATAAATATGAATTTGTAATTGTTTGATATACATTATTGAAAGCATAAGAACACAGGTAAAAAATTCTAATTTCATGGATCAGAGATAATCACGCAAGGTCTTAGCCTGAGACATAGAATAGACTGTTCAATCACGTGATATGTATGATGTAAAATACATAACAACATACTATATGTTGTATCAGGCCTAACCTTAACTTGTGACATTAGTTATTTCTTTAATTTTAGTTTTCTGGGTTTTTTTTTGTTTGCTTTTTGTTTTGGTGGGTCGTGGGGCCTGAACTCTAGGCCTTGCTGCTGTCCTTCAGTTCTTCAGCTCAAGGCTAATGCCCTACCACTTGAGCCACAGAGCTGGCTTTTTCTGCTTATGTGGCGCTAAGCAATCGAACCCAGGGCCTCTTGCATGTGAGGCAAGCACTCTACCACTGACTGAACCACCTTCCCAACCCTAGTTTTCCGTTTTTTTTTTTAAAATTTTTTTTTGGTGGTCCGGTCGTGGGACCTGAACTCTGGGCCTGGGCACTGTCCCTCAGCTTTTCAGCTCAAGGCTAGCGCTCTACTACTTGAGCCACAGCGCCACTTCCGGCTTTTTTCTTTTTGCTTATGTGGTGCTGAGGAATCGAACCCAGGGCCTCAGGCATGCAAGGCAAGCGCTCTACCACTGAGCTACCTTCCCAGCCCCTAGTTTTCCGTTTTTATGCAACCCTGAAGTGGACTTTGTTTCTCTGATAATCTAAGTGCTGAGCGGTTGTCTGGGTATGGGAGAACGTATGAATGGAGTGAGACAGTGGACATTTCTGCTGCCTGTGTTCCCACGCCGGCTCACCTGTGCCCACTCTGCCCCCTGGATGCCACATACCCGAATGAACGCGCCGCATCAGACCCCCAAAACCATCAAGAGGTTTTATTCTTTAAGTGTCAAACAAAGTGTCTGCCCCTTTCCCATGTCTGTGAATTCTAAAGAGAAAGGGTATTTCGAGGGTACTCAGGAAGGCATCCTGCCCTCATCCCCCCACCTCCCCAGCTGTCCTCCCTCCTCTCCATCCCCTTGGGCCTCAGTTACCCTTCTCTGTGGGCTGAGGCTGGTGTGAGGGACACAGGCTGTCCCTCCAGAGGTGGTAGGTGATGGCGGTGGTCACAGTCAGCCAGGCCAGGTAGGGCAGCAGGAGCAGAGCAGCCAGCTTGTTGATGGGGTGCCAGATGCACACCGTGCTCACCACCAGCCCAAACAGCAGCAGCAGGTACATCAGTGCCTGGGCAGGGATCATGGAGGGGGAGGGGTCAGCACGTGGCTCCAAGAGCCAGACTACCTTCTCCCTGTGGTACCCTGATCCAATAAGCAAAGTCCCTCAGATGCTGCATACCACAGGAATCTGCCAACCTGTGAACTTCCCGCACCTGATCTGAACTGTCTGCCTGGTGATTTTCTTTTCCATTCCCTCCATTGCTGAGAACCCAGTGCCTTACCTGACCAGAGTTGTCAGCTGACAAGAAGAGCATCAGGACAATCCAGCTGACGATGAGCTGTAGAGCATAGAGGCCAAGAGGCAGCGCCAGGGGCCACTGGAAGCCCCCTCCCAGGTCCTTCCACACCAGGTAGGAGGCATAGCTGCAGAGAGATGATGGCACAGTGCTAGCAGGAGAGGGTTCCATGGCGCCTGGAGGAGCCTGTGGGTATAAGGTCCCTTGGTTGCCAGGAGGGACCCTCGTGGCCTGAAACGTATCATGATTTGAGGGCTGGGGAGCGGGAGGCGGGTGGGGGGGGAGGGGAAGCTTGTGGGAAGAGTTGAGCATGGTGGTGATGCTGGAGACTCAGAGACAGTAGAAGAAGAGGTGGGCGGGGGAATGCAGTCCTGGGTAGGCAGAGGGTTTTTGTCTGTGGGATCCACCCCAAGAAGTAGGATGGGGGTGTCATCCCTTTGGAGGCCAAGGGGACTTGCTCCCACCCCAGCGGTTACCTGGGCCTTGTGCTCACCCCATGACTGAGTAGATGGCTGTCCACACGAGCACGATGACCTTGTGAGGCGGACACCAGGGCAGCTTCTTGGGGACCTCACACCATCCAGACATCTGGTTTTGAGTGACTGTCCAGATCAAGATGGGCCCCAGGTGGGGCAGGCCCACAAAGATGGGCCCTTGAGGCCGCATTCACCTCAAGGAGGCAAAATCTGGGGAGGCAGAGAGCATACTAATGATGAGCTTTCCCTCAGTCTTTCTGGGTCTCTCTGTCTCTCTCTTCCTCCTAACCTGCTGCTCTTCCCTGGCTAGCGCCCCTCACTGGGATCTGGTCATGGAGCTCCTGCCCTGCTTCTTGGGCCAAACTCAACCCTTACCTCTGGCCTAGCTACCCCTATCATGCCCATTTTTCTGGCTTCCATGGACTTAGTTTCTGACCCCTCATTTGGATACTATCACCTACTGGTAGCTGCTTCTGAGTGAAAGGCTTTCCTCCCTCTTCGGGGATCTAAGTTCGAGGGGTCAGGTCCACACCTGATCATCTTTAACCTCCCACAGTGGACAGCACTTGGCCAGGTCCACAGCAGGCACTGAGGATCATTGTCTTTCCTAAGCTGACAGCTACCATCCTAGAAAGACTATGTTCTGAAAGTAGGAGCCAGAGAGATTCTTGGGACCATTCCCAGTCCCCAACGGGCCTGCTCATCTGCCCTGGCTTATCTCACTAGACCAGACTGATACACTCTAGGGCCCACCCAGCCTGATCTCTTTCCCAAATTCAGAGGCAGCCCTAATGTATACTTCTCTGAAGCCTTAGCTCTGGTCTGATCCTGAAATGAGGTTCCACATGCACCTTTCCATTTGTAGAGTGGAAAGCTGCAGACACGAATGTCTAGGTCTCTAGACATTTGTAATTCTCAAGGAAATAACTGGTCTTTGGTCATGCCGTGGTCATTTGCGTATTGCATTTGCTGCATGTGGGGTAAGGTAGACCCTTCTCAGCCCAGGCCCCCAGCCAATACCATTCTTGCTTAGCTCATGATATTTTGGGCCTACTTTCCACATGATAGATGGGATATGAAGGAAAATAGCTGATCATTTTCAGTGTGCTGGAGTGATGGTGTTCTAATCCATTTTTTTTTCCTGTCAGGGGTGCAGGTTACTTGTCCTGGGGGCTCCTGGGACAGGACTGAGTCTAGACATCTTTCTGTTTGTGTCTCTCTGCTCCTCACTGTCCATTTACTCAGATTACCTTCCTACCTCTCTCGCTCAGGCTTTCCTGTGTATCTAGTGATGCTGGCCCTCATGGTAGCCTTCACCCTCTTTTCTCCTGTCACCCAGTACTCCCATGCCTCCTTGTTCCCAGGCCTTACCGCTCTTTCCTCAGGCAGCACAACGTCTAGGCTGGGTGTCTGATGACACTTGATGAGTGCAAGACAGAGGGGGGGAAAGGAGGGAGGGATAGGGCGAAGGGTGGAGCAAGCTGCCCAGCTCTCTGCCCAGCTCAGATGGCAGGGGTGGTGACACCGATGGGAGTCCAGGTTGCTGCTTGTGTGCTCCCAGAGTTCCTCTCAGCAGGGGTGTTCTTCTTGCCCTTCCCTTATCTCCTAGATCCCTCTCTCTTTCTCTGTCTCTCTGTGTTGCTGGACCTTGTGCCTGGTAAATTCTCTACTACCGAGCTACATCCTCAACCCTGCTAAGCCCCTGGCCACTGTGAGACCTGGGCCTGCTTGACGGCTCAGCTCTGGCTCCAGCCCTACTGATGGCTGTGGCCTCTGCATGGAGCGAACCTACCCTGTGTCCATGGAGGTGAGAGGGGCCCTCGGATTTCTCCAGACCCTTTCCGTAATCAGTAAAGTCTCTAAATAAGGCAAGCACCAGCTTTGGAAATGAGCTCACCATCCATGAACACAGTCCCTGGTTACAGCCTCCTAGCTGGCCTGGCCCAGGCCTGGCTTGACTTCCAGCTTGGAAGATCTTTCCTAAATCTCCAGGATTTTCTACCTCCAAGACAAAGGCAGAAGACAGTACTGCGGGGAGGGGGGCTGGGGGTGGGGAACCTGGGCAGGAGGAGACTGGCGCTTCCTGGAAGAGTCCTGCCTCCTGTTTTCCTTGGAGAGCAGTAGCAGAGCATGTCCCCTGCTCCTGGCAAAGTCCAGTCTCCGGAGTGACTCAGATACCGCTTTGTCCAACAAAGACAGACACCTCCCCTCTCCATCTCCTGTCAAAGTTCTGACTTCCACTGTCTTGTTTATCCTTCAGGCACTAAGTCTCTTTCCCAGGCTGATTCCTCTCCATCTGTTCTCTTGTGGCATCGAAGGTGGGGAACCAGGCTCCCAGGGGGTGTCCCATTCTACCTAGGGAGCAGGGAGGAGGGGCAGGCATGGCAGCCAGGGACAAGAGGCTAAAGAGTCACTAACTGAGGCCAGAGCAGAGGAGCTGCTTCTTCTTTTTTAAAGTTGCAGTGTGTGTGTGTGTGTGTGTGTGTGTGTGCACACGCACACACACACACACACAAGCCATCCTGAGGCTTGAATTCAAGGCCTAGGTACTGTCCCTGACCTTTTCTTTTTTCTTCCCCCTCAGGGCTAGTGCTCTACCACTTGAGGCACAGCTCCACTTCCAGCTTTTATTTATTTATTTATTTATTTTTTGGGTGTGGGTAGTTTATGGGGAATAAAAGTCTCACAGACTTTCCTGCCTGAGCTGGCTTTGAATTGTGATCCTTAGATCTCAGGCATGAGCTACCAGTACCTGGCCTCATGTTGTATTTTTACTTTGATTGGCACATAATACTTTCTGAGATACAGTATAATGTTTTGATACACACACACACACACACACACACATATATGGGCCTGGGTGCTGTCCCTCAGCTCTTCAGCTCAAGGCTAGCACTCTACCACTTCCAGCTTTTTCTGCTTATGTGGTGCTGAAGAATCGAACTCAGGGCCTCATGCATGCGAGGTAAGCACTCTATCACTGAGCCAGCCCCACATATGTACATTTTAAGTGACATCTAGTCACCTCAAACATTTCTCATTTCTTAGTGGAAAGAGCATTCGCCGCCCCCCCCCATCTATATCTGTAGTCACTTTACTGTGTCACAGAATGCAGAACTTATTATTCCTATCAAACTGTAACTTTGTGCCCATTGACCAGTGTCACTCCGTCCCCTCCCCCAAGCCCCTTCCGGTCTCTGCTATCTGCGCACCTCCGTGTTTATTGCAGCACCTCTCACAGGAATAAAGATACAGAATCATCTAAGTGTGTCCAACATGGATAAAGAAAATGTGACCTGTGACCTGTGACATGTGAGGTGTGTGTGTGTGTGTGTGAACAACAGAATTCAGCCTGTCAGAAAGGAAATCCTATGATCTGTGACACATGGATTAAACTAGACACAGACATAAATACTGCATACTGCATGATCTTACTTATGGGAAGAATCTGAAACAGTTGATCACGGGGTGGGGCAGAGTATGGGACACAAGAGCACAGTGGAGGGAAAGTCACGTGTTGGCTATGGAGCTGATAACCCGGGTTGTGATATTACTGGAGTTCACCACAGTCCTCCAGTGCTTACCAGGTCATGGTGATAACAATGATCGTTTATCAGCCATTCGATGGTAGGCACGCTTCATCTATTACTTCAGTAATGATAATCACTACTCCACACAAGATAAATTTTCTTAAAAAAAAATCTACATTTGACAGACAAGGCAATGAAGTTATGTGTGCTCAAGATGACTGGTCAGGAACCTGGCCCAGCGTGTGGGTCGCTGGACTCCGTGTAGCTAAGCAGTCTGCATCCAAACTGCGTCCATTTTGCTACCAACCAGCTCTCATTCAAAAGTCCTTGTGGAGTACCTCTTCTCTGTCAGGACACCCCCAGAGCTGAGGAGCAGAGGCAGACAGCTGTGCGGGAGGGGAGGCATCCCTGTCCACAGAGAGCTTTTATTCCAGCGATGTTATGTCTCTGAGTTCTGTAAGGCCTCAGGCTGCTGACAACAGAGCCCAGATCCAAAAATCAGCTCAGCCCTGAATACCGGAAGTGGAAAAACCACGGTGTGGGAAGCAGGTCTGGATATTTCCTGGTGTCAGCCACACTGGGAGCTGGGGCAGTGTGCTACCTGAGGAGACAGTGTCTCTGGGTCCTGGTCCAGCTGCATGGGACCAGCTTCTTAGAGCTTCCGAGGCTTGAGCCTGCAGAGTCAGTACCTGCATCTTAACAAGATCCTAGGTGATGTGCGTGCAGATTATGCTTGGAGGAACTCTGGTAGGGAGGGCTTGAAAGGTGCACCACCTGGGCCTAGCGCCTTCTACCCCCTCGCCTCCTTTCCAGACCTGTGCAGGAGAGTGGGCTGACTGCCCAGGCCTAGAGCCGCCCAGGGGCAGGACTCTGCCAGGAAGCACCTGGCCACTCCTACCTGGATCCCCCGCCCACCTCCACTGCCTGATGACTGGGCCTGGCTGACCTCCCTCTCTCTCTCTCTCAGAGAAGGAACTATTGTTCCTGGACAAGCCTGCAGCCTCTAAGAGCACTTAGACAGCGAGGTGAGCACTCTCGTCGGGGTAGCTGCAGGGAGCTGGGCCTTGTATGGGGGTCATCTGGAGCTCAGGACGGAAGAGCCCGCCCAGCTGAGCCTGACCAGCTAGGTGTGGGGACACTCTGCTGGAGGAGAGGAGGAAAAGGGGACTTGGAGAAGGGCCACTGCTGATGGGTATGAAGAAATGTATGCCATGTGTGACAGGTGTGGATTTAGTGATTAGGACATTTTTTTTTTATGTGCGTGTGCGGGTCCTGGAGCTTGAACTTAGGGTGTGGGAGCTGTCCCTGCGCTTTTCTTGTTCAGGTCTTACCACTTGGGCCACAGCTCCACTTCCGGCTGTTTTGGTGATTAATTAGAGATAAGAGTCTCATGGACTTTCTTGCTTGGGCTGGCTGGAGTCATGATCCTGAGATCTCAGCCTTCTGAGTTGATAGGATTACAGGCCTGAGCCAATGGCACTGGGCTCCACTGTGGTACTTTTCCCATCCTGCAGGGATGCCTGGCAGTAGGAGCTGGGGAAGCTGGGGATAGCCAGTGAGCATCTGGGGTGTAGCTGAACTGGGCAGCCAGAGGCTGGGGCTTTGTTCTGGAGAAAACAACTGTCTGGGGACAAGTGCCATCAGTGTTTCTAAAGGCCATCATTTTGGAAAAATGCCACTGGGACCATCTAGGCTCTGGGGCAAGCAAGCTGGGGGAATGGGTGCTGAGGAGTCAGCCATGGAGTTGGGAGACACCAGTGAATAGACCACTGCACTATAAACCTTACCCAGCCCAACTCTGGTCCCTTTCTCTCCTGGAGTCAGGGAAGAAAGAGGATGGAGTGAGGAGCTGTTAGCTGTGCTCCACGGGTGGGCTGGGGCACCCTTTAGCCTGCTTCAGGCCAAGTAAATGAATGGGCACAGGGTGAGGCCCAGCGAGCTTTGGATAGTCATTCCAATCTCTCCAGGAGGGGAGGCCAATCCAGGGGACAGGGCCCCATGCCATGGAGGGCATGTGGACTCCGGTCTCTCCAGACCCTGGGAAGGTTGTTGCTATGGAAACAGTACAAGTGCCCACCTTCCATACCTTTTACCTGGTCTATCCCCTGCCACTAGGCCTTCATGGGCAGGGGGTGAGGGGGAGTATATTCCTTTTTACTTTACTTTTGGTCTCTTTCTTGCCAACTTCATTTCCTCTAGAGGGAAGGAAGAAGGGGTGGGGGGAGTAAGCAGCAATTCTGTAAGTCCTGGTCATTCCTGGGCATCCCTCCTGTCTGTCTGTAGCTGTTACATTGGTCTCTATCCACATGCTGGAGAGGAAACTCAATGTCCTTATCTATGAAATGGAGACACAAATGACATCAATTCGTAGGACTGTACAAGATGAAATGAGATAAGCCGTTGGAATGCTTTAACACACATGATGTAATTACAAGAGCAATTAGCCGGGTGCTGGTGGCTCACGCCTGTCATCCTAGGTACTCAGGAAGCTGAGATTTGAGGATTGAGGTTCAAAGCCAACCTGGGCAGGAAAGTCCCCGAGAGTCTTATTGCCAATTAATCACTAGAAAACTGGAAGTGGCGCTATGGCTAAAAGTGGTAGAGTGCTGGCCTTAAGTGAAAAAGCTCAGGGACGGTGCCCAGGCCTGAGTTCAAGCCCCATGACTGACCATAAAAAAATTACAAGGACTATTACTATGGAAAGACAAAAGGAATGGAAAGGGGGTTAAGGGCAGTTTGCTGTACTGTCCTGCCAGTGCTAGCTCACCTGATTCTCCACATTTTCAGTGAGGACATAAGAGGTAGGGGACCATCTGGCCTTGTGGGGGAAGGAACTAGGAAGGAGTGTGGTCTTCATGGAAGGAAGGAAGGAAGGAAGGGAGAAAGGAAGGAAGGGAGAAAAGAAGGAAGGCAAGAAAGAAAGAAGAGGGTGGGCAAACTCAGCTCGCCGTGGCTCTCTTGAGATGGATGGGTGGATGTAGGGGGAGAGGAGTGAATGTCAGATGTTAGATGCTCTCAGTACAGACCCTGGTGAGATAACCAGAGGAACTTCCAAGGACTGTGAAGGAGGGCCTCCAATCTCAGCTGCCAATGCACTGAGTCGCATTCTCTCTGCCTCTCCTTGAGGGATGAATAAGATGGTTTTTGGCAGAACTGAGCCTCCTAGGGTACCTGAGCCATACCTGGTGTTCAGAGAGTGTTCCTTTGAGTAGTGTCTAGTAAACAGTGCTCAGGGAGGGATGGCAGGGGAGATACCCAGCCAAGGGGTGTGAGGGAGGGCTGGGATGCCATGAGGAGGGGTCCAGGTGGGGAGATGGGGCAGGGAGGGAGAAATCAGAAAGAGCAAGGAGCGAAGACCAACAACCAGAATACACTAGGTGTGGGGAACTCAGCCCCGCCAGCTTGAGCCGGGGAGGTGGGAGGGGGTGGAAGTGAATGCAGGCCTTTGCAGCGGTGGCCGCAGGAAAGTTTAACGTGTGGCCACTCAGAGAAGCAGTCAAGCATGCGGCCAGAGTATGCCGTGGCCCGGCCTCATCTGGATGCCCTGCAGGCACCTGCCTTTATCTTTTTCTGCTTTGAAGTTTTGTTACTAGTGTTGTATTGTGTGTAACCCTGTGGGCTGTCTTTGGACCTTTCGGGCAGGAGAGGCATAAATAAATACAAGTTGGGACAGCACTTTGTCATCTGAAAATGCTTTCCATCCTCACAATCACCTGGGAGATTTATTTTTCCCCTTCCCCCCGCTTATTTTTTTCTTTTCTGTTTTTGTTCAGGTGCCAGTACTGGGGCTTGAACTCTTGCACTCCTGTTTGCTCAAGGTTGGTGCTCTGCCACTTGAGCCATACCTCCACCTCTGGCCTTTTTTTGTTGTTTAATTGGAGATTAAGAGTCTCAGAGACTTTTCTGCCCTGGCTGGCTTTGAGCTATGATAGTCAGTCTCCAGAGTAGCTAGGATTAGAGGCATCAGCACCAGTGCCTGGCTTCTTTTCACTTTTAAGAGTTTTCAAAAGGATGGACCATTTGTACAAAACATATGCTTGATGTGAAAATTTAAAGAATGATTTTTAAAAAGCCAGTTAAGCTCATGCCTTTGGTCCTCTTAATTTGCCTTGTCTTAGTGAGGAGCAAGGGGAGTGAAGGTGATGGGGATGTGGCCTCCTGGACCTGTACTAAGGGTGGGAACCTTAGTTGTACCATGGGACAACTGAGCATTTGGGCTGAGCAGGTCCTAGGTAAACAGTGCCCTAGGTCCATGTAAAATACACTTGGACTTCAAAGATGTGGTCTACCACGGATGGCACCTACTTCACTAATCAGTTTATATCCACTGTCTGCTGAAATAGCATTTTGGATACAAAATATGACTATTATTAAAACGTCTCCTGTTCCTTTTCCTAGGAGATGTACAATTACATATTTGTCTTTACAATTTTCATCACACATCACTAGTCCATCTCCTCTGTGCAATTATATTCATACACACGTGCATGTACTTACACACTCGTATGTGTAAATGTGTCTATTCTTGGACATACTTCTGTGTGTGTGTTTGGGATCAAACCAAGGACTGTTTGCATAAGCATACACTGAGTCTCAGCCTATATTTATTTATTTTTACATTCATGAGGCCACCAGGTGTCTCTTTACCTCTTGTTTTTGTTCACCTATTGATTTTGCTGTAGATTAAGGTAGATGTTTTATTTTGTTTTTGAGACAGCGTCTCACCGTGTGGCCCAGGCTGGCCTCAAACTCATGACCCTTCTGCCTCAGCCACCAGCATGCTGGGATTACAGGCATGTATCACCATGCCAAGCTCAGAGATAGATACTTTGGTAGGTAAAGAAACTGACCTACATTAAACACATGACAAGCTTACTCAGCCCCAATGTGAAGTGGTATTTGAACTCATATCCTTTAGATCCAAACACAGCTTCTTTCCTATTCCGAGTTTTACCTTGATATACGGGGTGATAGGAAACCATGGCATGTTCTCTTATTTTTTGGATACAAGGTCTCCTTGTATAGCCCAGGCTGGCCTTGAACTCCAAATCCTTCTGTCTCAGCCCCTCAGACCTGTGATTCTAGGTGTATCCTACTTGCTCTGGAAGGTTCTTGAGAGAGTGGGAGAAAAGAAAGAGGAAACCTTGGCTCATCCATCACTTCAGCCCCACCGGAGCCAAGTACCTCCATAACTCACAAGTGTGGCCTGATTTTAATCCTTCTTTTTCCCCAGGCTTAGGGCCTTGGCCGGCACACGGGTGTGTGAGAGAGCCCGCAGCCTTGAGTGACCGGGCCGGATGTGCCCCCAGGAGAGTTCCTTCCAACCCTCCCAGTTCCTCCTGCTGGTGGGGGTCCCCGTGGCCAGTGGCCTCCTTCTGCTAAAGTGTCTTCATTGGCATTGTTCTCGGTGGCTGCCGGGAGCCTGCTGGAAGCCAGATGGTCAAGAGGATCCAGTGTCACAGTCCACCCAACTGCCAAAATACGAGGTCCGAAGAGAGTGCCCACCCCCCACACTGCCCGAGGCAGCCGCCTTCTACCAAGAGCTACACACGCCCACGCACGGCCACACGGTCACTCGCCAGCTGATGCACAAGCTTCTGGTATTTTCTGCCCGGGAGGTCGATCACCGCGGAGGTGGCCTGATCCTCCAGGACACCGGCATCTCCCTGCTCATCCCTCCAGGTGAGCGCTCCCGGTCCTCTGACACGGGATGGGCCTTGCGGTGACCCTGGAAAGGGAAAGAGGGTCTGGCTCAGGCCCGCACCCCACGTTGGCTCACAGGGGGTCCTGTGTTCATTCCATATGGCTTCCTGTTGCCCCACTGGGTGCCTTCTGTCCTCCTGGGCTCCCGCCCTACCTCCTTGTCTACCCTAGCTAAACGTGATTTCTGCTTCTCAGATCCGATCTCAGCCCTCTGTCTCCCCAGGTGCTGTGGCTGTGGGTCGCCAGGAGCGGGTGTCACTGATCCTGGTGTGGGACCTGACAGATGCTCCGGCACTGTCTCGGTCCCAGGGGCTGGTGAGTCCTGTGGTGGCCTGTGGCCCCCACGGGGCCTCCTTCCTGAAGCCCTGCACCCTCACATTCAAGCACTGCGCCCAGCAGCCCCGCCATGTCCGCACCTACAGCAGCAACACGAGCCTGCTGGATGCCAAGAACTGGAGGCCCCTGGGCCGGGCGGGGAGCCACAGCTCCCGGGACGAGTGTCGCATCCTGCTCTCCCACTTCAGGTAGGCCGGTGTCCGCGGGCCTCTCCTGATCGTGAGTCCCTCGTACCGTCATTCCAGAGCCTTTCCTCTGTCTCACCCTTGTTCCTTTTTATTTTTATTTTTTGGTTGGTTGTGGGGCTTGAACTCTGGGCCTGGGTGCTGTCCTTCAGCTCTTTAGCTCAAGGCGAGCGCTCTACCACTTGAGCCACAGCGCCACTTCCGGTTTTCTGGTGGTTTATTGGAGATAGGAGTCTCACGGTCTCTCCTGCCCCCGCTGGCTTTGAACCCTTTGAACCGAGATCCTCAGATCTCAGCCTCCTGAGTAGCTAGGATTACAGGCGTGAGCCACCAGCGCCCAGCTTCACCCTAGTTCCTTTGGATAGAAGTACAACCTTATCTGTCCCGGGTGGCCTGCCAGCCCCTTCCGCCCTTGTGTCCCTCCCCAGGTCCTCTGTCCTGATGTCCATGGCAGCTGGTTTCACCCCTGCCTGTACCAATGTGTCTGACTCTGTCTAGAGATCCTTCCTGTCCCCACATCTGTATCTCTCTACGGTTGGCCTCTCTGCCGCACTGCCCTGATGATACTGTCCTGACACTTTCTGGGGGAAGTCTGTCCCAGCGGATCCCATATCCAGTGTGTCCTCCATTGCTTTGACATTCTAGATTGATTCTTTTGCTAGTCCTGGGGCTTGAACTCACAGTCTAGGCACTGTCCTTGAGCTTCTTTTTCTCAAGGCTAGCCCTCTACCACTTGATCCACAGTGCCACTTCTGGCTTTTTCTGTGTATGTGGTGTTGAGGAATCAAACTCAGGACTTCATGCATGTGAGGCAAGCACTCTACCACTGAGCCACCTTCCCAGCCCCGACATTCTGGATTCTTAGGATCCACAGCCCCTAGACCCTGGCTTTCCATTGATCAGAGCAGAGCTATATGTGGGATCCTTCCCAGCCACAGGGACCCGGAGCCCACCTCCCCTGGCTCCCGTGCCAGAGAGTCCATGTTGGCTTTTCTTCCCACTAAGTCATGGGCACCATGCCATGCATACTTCTTGTCCATGTACCCAGGGTACCTTACCCAGGTCCCCCCTCTCTGCGCCTCTGGGGCACTGTCCCAGCCTGCACTGAGGGTCCTCGGGTGACTGACAGGGCGTGGTGGCAGGTGTGCTGGGGTCTCTGCCATCATCTCTCTCCACAGTCTCTACACCTGTGTGCTGGAGGCGCCTGTTGGCCAGGCCCCCCGCAAATGGCTGCAGCTGGCTGTGTTCTGTTCCCCACTGGCGCCTGGGCAGACGCACCTGCAGCTGCGGGTCTACTTCCTGAACAATACGCCCTGTGCCCTGCAGTGGGCCGTGACCAATGAGAAGCCTCACGGTGGGCGTCTGCGCGGGCCCTGCCAGCTCTTTGACTTCACGGGGGCCAGGGGCGACCAGTGCCTGAAGCTCAAGTATATCTCTGAGGGTGAGGGAAGGGGCCGCGGGGGGGGGGGATGGGGAAATAGGGAGCCCCATGAGAAAGACTGGCTCAGCACCTACCGCTGGGCTGGAAGTCAGTTTCTTTCTGGGATTCCTGGGCTGGAAGTAGCCTCTGGGAGACCCCTGACCTCTGTAGCTCCCTCCAGAAGCCCCCTAAGGCTTTGCCCACCTCCTTCCTCTGCTGCCCACTCAGCCTTGCCACCAGCTCCAAGACAGGGTGATGGGAGGTGGACGGAGAGGAGCAGGAAGCTAGGGGGAGCTTCGCTCTTCTCTGAACCCTCCTCTCCTAATGGCTGCCCAATGGGATGGACACTCTGCCTTGTGCTTGTGGACAGGGAACACAATGTAGGGGGTGGAGTGAGGGGGGGTGGGGGGTTATGGGGGGGTGATGGCCTCTGTGTGTGTGTGTGTGTGTGGTATAGCAGGACCACTTTGGGGCTCTGGGAATTCACTTGAGCCCCTCCTGCTTTCCACGTCCTCCTGTCTCCTCACAATGTCCGCACCCCGCCTCTGAGGCCTTCCGCTCTCCACCCGTCTCCAGGTTGGGAAAATGTGGATGACAGCAGTTGCCAGCTGGTTCCCCATCTCCACATCTGGCATGGAAAGTGCCCCTTCCGCTCCTTCTGCTTCCGGAGAAAAGCGGGTAATTCAGAATCTCCTTGCCTCCTTTTCTGCGCTGCCCCCCCACCTTACCCCCTCCCAGTCTTCCCCCCATCTCCTCCCAGCGGCCCCACTCCGGGCCATGCACATGGACTCACTGAAAGACGAGCACTGCAGCAGAAGACGCCGTGCTTTGCGTCTTCAGAGCCCCAACACCTTTGCTGTAGAGCTCCTTTGACTCCCCTTGCCTGCTACCCCAAGTCATCTTCTCTTACCCGCCACCCCTCACCTTCTCTCTGTAGCCAATGACAGCGAAGACTGCTCGGCACTCACAAATGAGATCATTGTCACCATGCACACCTTCCAGGACGTGAGTTGTACTGAGGGGCAGAGGAAGGGCAGAGTCTGTAGGAGTCCTGAGCCAGGTGGGCGGGGGGGGGGTCTGCTCTGGCCCAGCCAGTCTGGTTTAATCACAGAATCAGGGAAGTGAAGAACGCATTTTTCACAGAGCGGCCACATCAGGTCTCTGAGGGACTTAGCATCTGCCTCCAAGTTACCCTGCATTCTTCCCTGCTTGTCTGTCCATGGATCCATGCAGCATGAGGAGGTTAAGAGTTGAATCTTAGATGAATCCCATCTCCCCACTCAGGGGAAACCAGGGCATCAAGGAACCTTGGTCTCTACCTAGACTGACCATCTCCACCCGAGAGACGGATGCTTTGTGTCTTCAGTGGGGGTGCCAGGGAGTTAGGTAATTTTCCCTCCTGCCCACAGCCTCAAGGGGAGATAGGAAGAAGTCATTGAGATTCTTTGGGTGGACCATGGCAGCATCTTACTGGAAGGTAGTCAGCTTTCCTCACATTGCCACTTGGAGTGGAAAAGTTGGGGGGGGAAGGAAGGGATCCCTAAAGCCCTGGTAGAATATTTATTATTGCATGAGGAGCCCCATGACCCCATCTAGAACTTCTCCTGGTAGTTTAAAATACACCACACCCTGCTTGGTCATTGCTCCAGTTCCTAAAGAAACGACTAAACGCACTTAAGGTTGGGTGTGGAGTTCTGGGGTTAGGGCTGCAGAGGGTAGAGGGTGCTGGCTGGGATGGGGTAGTGTCTCCCGGTGAAGTGGAGATGTGAGGAATGGAACTAGGTCTGCAGCTCTTACTCAGGGCCTTGGCCTCTGACCCCTAATTGTAGTCCTTGCTCTGCTATTGACCCAGGGTTTGGAAACCAAGTACATGGAAATCCTCAGATTCCAGGCCTCAGAGGAGGAGTCCTGGGCCACGCCACCCCCAGTCTCCCAGCCCCCACCTTGTAATAGGTGAGGTGAGGTGGGGGGGTCTGGGGGATGCACCCACAGACCAAATAAAGCCTTGGGGGGGAAGGGAGGCAGACTGGGTCTCTTTGGTCCTTCCCTGAGTGAACAGCCTCTCCCCCTGCCCCAGGCTGCCCCAAGAGCTCTTTGAGCAGCTACAGATGTTGCTGGAGCCATACAGCGTCACGGGGAATGACTGGCGCCGGCTAGCATCCCACCTGGGGCTCTGTGGCATGAAGATTCGGTAAGGAGGGCGGGACCAGGGGGTAGAAGTATAGGACGGGCTGGGGTGGGTGGATCTACCCCAGAACATCTTAACTTTCCAGATGATTTAAAAGTTAGACAATGGCCGCTCCTCATCTTGTTCCCTGAAAATGGCTGCTCTCGCCATGGATTGCTCTGTCTTCTGTAGCCAGGGTGATGCCTGGCTGGTGGCAGGTGCTCAGTAAATAGTCAACAATGAATCAATTACAGTAGCTTACCTGATGATGTGTTGAAGCATGTGGCGGGGCACCTGGCACATGTGAACTCAGTGAATGTCAGTGGTCATGGCACCCTGTAGCCATGGCCCCTGCCAAGGACACTCACAAAGCCCAGTGTTTGGAGCAGTAAGTAGGTCAAGACAGAAGCCATGTCTTATAGCAACTGCTTCCTCATTGGTGGACAGGGTTTTGGAGGGGAGGGGCCGTCAGGGGACCTGTGAGGCAGGAGGGTGTTTGAGGTGGAGAAGGAGAAAAACTATTAGAGCCTAGGGCTGGAAGCAACGTTTGGGGTCCTCTTTTGTAAAACTTGCGCTCAGTAAGAGGAAACAGGCCTGGCTGGAAGTAGGTGTCAGGCAGGTGGCTGGCTAGGACAGTGTCTCTCTCTCCCGCCCCAATGAATTTAGGGCCTGATCAGTGCCCTGTGAGCCTTTTCCTGCAAGCCTAGCGCTTTCCCACTTGAGCCACAGCTCAACTTCCAGCTTTTCTGGTGGTTCCTTGGAGATAAGAGTCTCACGGACTTTCCTGCCGGGGCTGGCTTTGAACCGGGATGCTCAGATCTCAGCCTCCTGAGGGGCTGGGATGACAGGCGTGAGCCGCCAGCGCCTGAGCAGGACCAGAGAAGAGGGACAGCCCTCCCTGCCCTCTCCTCCCTCCCGGGCCAGGTTCCTGTCCTGCCAGCGCAGCCCCGCGGCGGCCATCCTGGAGCTGTTCGAGGAGCAGAACGGCAGCCTGCAGGAGCTGCACGACCTCCTGGCGGCCATGGAGCGGCTGGACTGCGCCTCGGTCGTGCAGAGCTACCTGGGTGGGACGCCCGGCGGAGGCGGCGCCCGGGAGAACCGGGGCCTGGAGCTGGACGAGAAGCTCTGACAGAGCTCCGGGGCGGCGCTGGGCGCTCCACGGGCCCGGCGGGGTGGATCGGTGGATCGATCGGGTGGGCCGGGCGTGCTGGGGGCCTCGGGCCCGCCCCGGGGGTTCCGGGCAGCCGCCCGCCAACTCGGGTCTGGGTGCAGTTCTGCTCACGGCCGGCAGGAGGCGCGGGAGCCCGAGAGACCGTCACAGCCCAGCCTGCATCTGGGCCAGGCTCCACTTCATAGGCCCGGGTGGCCTGTCTGGTGGCCTGTCTGGTGGCCTGTCTGTCTGGTGGCCTGCCGGCATTCCTTGCCAATACCTGTAGTCCACAAGGTGTCACCAAGCTCTTAGTAGGCCCCAGCGCTGGGCTGGGATTATTTGAAACCAGGGCCTGGAGCCTCTATAAGCACTTGTCTAGGAGGAATGAAGATGCATTCAAACGAGCCAAGAACAAACTGCAAGACTGCACATCTGCACCATGGGCCTGGGCATCCGCATCCCCATCTCCACCCTCCTCCCTGCAGTCAGGGTCAGGGATGTGGTGAGCAGGGAGCTGTGCTCCCTGGAGGAGTTGAAAAAGGGGAGAGCCGGGTCCCAGCTGGAACAAAGAGAAGCCTCCAGGGAGAGTGTTGTGTGGGTGGGCTCGGGAGGGTGTGTGTGTGTGAGACTGCACAGGGGAGGAGCCACAAGTGAGCATGGAGGGCTGGAGACAGGAGGGAGCCCCCCGATGGGTGTGAAGGAGGTGGGCAGAGTGTGCCACATCCAGAGATAGGCACACATATACCTGCGGTCTCCAACTGCTCCGCCTTTGTCTCCTCGTGCTTGGGGGCTCACATCTTGTCTTCCCTCTCCCATGAAGCATTAAAGTGGAAGAGAAACCTCAAAAATTAATGTTCTCTCCAATCTACAGGGGTTTGAACTCAGCCCCCCCCATGCTTGCTCAGCTGGTGCTCTAATACTTGAGCCTTGCCTCCATTCCTTTTTTGCTGGTTATGATGGAGATGGAGGTGTGTGGACTTTTCTCTCTGGGCTGGCTTTGAATTTTGGTCCTCAGCCTCCTGTGTAGCTAGGATGAGGAGTGTAAGCCCTGGCGGCCCAGCAAACTGTGAGATTTAAGTGTCTGATTTCGTTTTCCTCTGCTTCCTGAAGTCACTCCATCTCAGAATATGTACCATTTTGTCTCTACCTAGTTATTGTGTCCTGCCTTTGCTCCTTTCTTTCTTTATCTGAAACCCTCAGTCATTCCCCTCAGGCAAGTGTCTTCCAAACCAATGTCATATATTGAAAGAACCTGGGTTACCCCAGGAATGAATGAGTGGGATATTTCCCCCGTGGATCAAGATCCAGTTTATCCTCAGGAAATAAAGAATAGGGATTAAAGAACACCCCCACTCAGTCAACAAATACTTACTCAGCACCTACTGTGTGTAAGGCACTGCACACAAAAGCCATGAATAGGCTGGATCTGGAAGGGAGAACAAAGAGTTCCTCTCCATTCAGAGTACTGTTTTTGCTCACACACAGGTGTTGTTAATTTGTCCAAGGGCCAGGCCAATCTCTCTGGTAATGCTAACAATTCACTTCTGTATTTAATTAAAAAATATTAATGCATTTTAAATGATGGACAATATTGTATAGTAAAATATGAAAATTGCCTTCCTTTGTTACTAGCCATCTTTTGCTTAGATTGGTCAATTTGGATGTGAGTATGAATGGTTTTATGTGGAAAATTATACCCATGGGGATGAGTTGGAGGGGAGCACTTTGTATGTTGCTATTCCAGTGTGAAAATTACCTGGTATGGAACCAGGCTTCATTTCCCTTTCCATTAGAGGTAAGCCTCCTCTGTGGAGTCCTTCCATCCCTTCCTCCTCCTCTAGCCCCAACTGTTCTCTCTCCCCTTTGTTTCATGTTCTCCCTTCCACCAGGGGCTGATGGTCACTCTGGGTTGGGGTCCTGGTCCCTTCTCCTCCCCCCCCCCAGCCTGCAGCCCTGGACTGTGTTTCCTGGCTCTTTCCTGCCCTTTAGACCAAAGACCTCTGTGTCCTCCTCTCCACCCTGCAGCTGGGGTCAGATCATGGCATTGCTGAGAAAGAATAGAGTGCTTTCTGGTTCCCAGTGTGGTTTCTCAAAGGATTCCCAGGACTGGCAAAGGGAGACTCAGAAATCCAAGGGTAGGCGCAGGCCGCGTGATGGGAAGTGGGGGACCCTTCCTTTTTCAAGGCAAACCCAATCAGCATCTGTTTAATGATGCTGAAAGCCCAAAGGATGACATCCAGTGGACGTCAGGAGACCCCGGCACACAGTTGTGGATCTGAAGTAGACGAAAAAGGCTCTCACCTGTCTGGGCTGCAGTCTCTTCACCCTCAGGACCACGCCGTCACAAATGAGGTGTACCAAGGTCCCCGTTCCCATCCACAGACCAGGCGCACACATGGCACACTGGTGACTCAAGGAACATTCACTTGGGGATTTTTCCTTTGTTTGAGTAGAACAACTGATCGCTTCTTGAGGCCTCTGTTCCATCTCTTTCCCTAATAGGTTCCCTGCCTCATCCCTAAAGACATATTCATGACTTCTCTTCTGACTGTCAGAGAGGCCCATGTCAAATCTTTCCCCTGCTGGGTTAGAATCTTGGTAGGGTGGGGGCTGGGTGGGTGGAACTAGAGCCTTCTGTGCTCAGAGATCACCGGCTCCTCAGCATCCCTCTGAGTGACATTCAGATCTCCACCATCCAACTGACACACATGGAAGGCCCCATACAGAACTTTTCATTCTTCTAGAGGCCACGTCAAAAAAGATTAAAAGAAAGAGGTGACATCCATTTGAATAATATATTTGCCTCAACCTAATATATCTAACATATTATAATATTCACATATAATCATTGGAAAATTAATGCTCTCTTAAAAACATTTCATGTTGGGCACACCTTCATTTGTATGCTGCTACAGTTTGGATCTGAAATGTCCCGCATTGATGAATTGGCTCTTCAGTGCCGCCTCCTGCCCCATGCGCTTTCTTGTACTTCAGAAGCTAGACACAGACTCCATTTCCAGACTCCTTAGGAATTTAGGTATAACTAGATAAACCTGGGTAGAGCTTGCAGTTAGAACTGGAATAAAGTGTGTGTATGTGTGTACGGCTGGGGTGTTGAATAGACCACCAAGCTGGTATTAATTTTATAGAGCTAGAAGTTTGCCTCAGAGTGCAATCAATCCTTCAGTCTTTCCCATGATTGTGACTCATTGAAGTTTCACCATATATAGTTTGTGCTTAGACCAGCTAGATGGAGACTGTAGACTATCCATTAATACCCCTATCCAATGTGCCGATGAGTCTTTCTCTGGACAAACTGTCATTTATTCTGTACCATACCCTTCCTGCTTGGTGTTAAGAGAGTCTGTGATATGAAGGGGCCCGTAGTAAGAAAGTTTGGATGAGACGTGCCATCCTTATTTATCCTGACGCAGGTAGACTTACTCATCTGCTCAGCATACATTTCACTGCTTAGAATCATGGTGGGCTTTGTTCATTTTCTTATCTTGAGGTAATCTCTTTCCTGCTGGCTTTAATCCAACTTACACTAGTTTTCTTGTTGGCGGAGATGTTATAGCTTCTGGCCAACAACAAAGCAAACATGAATTCCAGCTGGTTAGTGTCATCTTGTCCTAAAGATATCAGCTCAAGGACAGGAATATGCTTAGAATTAGTTATCAAGCTTCAGTTGTATTCAGATTCTAAACACTTTAGGAAAGACTTAGTTAGAAAATGAAGAACGAAGTTGGTGCCTGTGGCTCATGCTTGTAATCCTAGCTACTCAGGAGGCTGAGATCTGCGGATTGCAGTGTGAAACCAGGAAAGTCCATGAGACTCTTATCTCCAATTACCCACCAGAAAACTGGAAGTGGTGTTGTGACTCAAAGTGGTAGAGTGCTAGCCTTGAGCAAAAGAACTTGTGGACAGTGCCCATGACAAAAAAAGAGAGAGAGAAAATAAAGAACAATCATTGGAGATGCTGAAAAGGGTGAACAAAGGATCATAGGAGAGTTCCTTAGTGAAATACATAACAAGAGATGACATAGGAAAGGGCCCAACAGCTAATCATTCCATCCTTGGGAAGTCTGAATAAATATAAAGCAAAGGTACAATAGAGAAGGAGACTTAACAGCAAATTCTTTGTCCTGGGGCCTGAATTCTGGTCTCCCGCTCTCACTTAGAATTTTTGTTCAAGGCCAATGCTCTATCACATCCCTCCACTTCTAGCTTTTCACTGGCTAATTGGTGATAAGAAGCTCCTGCATTTATCTGCCCCAGCTGGCTTCAGGATCCTCAGATCTAAGCCTCCTTGAGCAGTTAGGATTATAGGCGTGATCCTCTGTGCTCAGTTCAGATCAACATTCTTATCTGTGTGCTCGCCCATGGTTCCTCCAAGTCAGGCTGTTGTGGTCTCTGTGGGGCAGGATTCCGAGCCATTTTTGGTCCAGGGGCTCTCCCGAGGCCACCATTGTTGGAAGGTTTGTCTGGTGACCCCTGCACATGGTCAGCCATTTGGCCTGGTGGGTGGCAGAGGCCCCAATATTTCTCCACATGGCGCTCTCCATATGACTTCGTGAGAGTTCTTGCAGTGTGATGCTGTTATTCATTCCTCGATGTTCTGTTGGGGGTAAAAAAACAGCTGTGGGCTCTCAGGCTTGGAACTGTTGTCTGCCAGGCAAGTCAACATCCTTCCTCTCAAGTTGTTTGCTAGTGGAGGAGGTTTGCTTTATTTATGCATTTTCCCCCCCAATCTGATGTTTTAGAAATACGGTACACATTGTGTGATCGCTAAGTAGAGCTAATTAGCATATACATCCCATCACATACTTATTTCTTATGGCAAGAACCTTTAAAACTCCCTCTTTCAGCAGTTTTCAAGAACACAATCCATTGTTTTGAACTATGCTAAGGAGAGACTTAACTTTAATCTTGGTCACTCCCAACTGCAGCTGCTCAGAGCAGGGGTCATAGAAAACCTT